ATGGGCTGGGGTGGGGTCAGGACACGTGGGGTCCAGGCCTGGCTTGCTGCTCACTGGCCCTGAGCTTGGGCACCTCACTTGCCTTCTGTGCCCATTTCTGTGCTGTGTCCCTTTCCCTCATCTTCCTGGAGCCCAAGTCTGGGCCCGGCCTGTGTGGAATAGAGCAGTCTGGGCTTTTCAGGCCGAGGACTTTGAGTTTTATCCAGGGATGCGGATCCCTGCTGGTGTTGGTGATTCCACTCACGTGAGCTGAGTAAACTGACAGAATAAGACCTCAGGCAGGTGAGCCCCACTCTGGACAGCAGGGCCCAGCCTTGGTGACTTCGGGCCTGGCTTCTGAGTCTGCTCTTTTCTTTTCTTTCTTTTTAACATATTTTATTTATTTTATTTTATTATTATTTTTTTTTTTACAGAGAGGAAGGGAGAGGGATAGAGAGTTAGGAATATCAATGAGAGAAAACGTCGATCAGCTGCCTCCTGCACAACCCCCCTACTGGGGATGTGGTACATGCCATTGACCGGTATTGAACTCGGCACCCTTCAGTCCATAGTCCGATGCTCTATCCACTGAGCCATACTGGCTAGGGCATGCTCTTTTCTTAAAAAAAATATATATGTTTATTGATTTCAGAGATGAGAGAGAGAGAAACATCAATGATGAGAGAGAATCATTGATCAGCTGCTTCCTGCTCACCTCCCACTGGGGATGGAGCCTGCAACCTGGGCATGTATGTGCCCTGACCGGGAATCAAACCATGACCTCTTGGTTCATAGGTTGACGCTCAACTGCTGAGCCACACCAGCGGGGCCTGTTCTTTCCTTTGAACATCAGACCCCACACAGGTGGCCTCTCCTCTCAGAGAGGCCTGTCTCGGCTAAGCCGCCCACTGTGTCCTGGACTGGAAACCCGCTCTGTTAGCATGCTTTGGCCCTGCGGGGCTCCACATTTTTTCCATGGAGGCCCTGCGGTGCTCTGCATTTCTTTCATCATTAAAAACGGACTTCAAATAAGACCCTGGATTTTTTTGGCCACCGCTCCTGGGATGAGGCCAAGCTCTTCAGCATGACCCGTTCTGCCCGGGGCTCACTCTGCAGTTCCCAGCCATCCCGTCTCCACCTTTCCCACCAGACTTGGCAAGAGTGTGTACAACAGTGTGGACACGGTGTGGGGAATGCATAGGAGAGAGGGGCACATTCCACAGGGGGTGGAAACCTCAGTCCCAGCGCTATTATTTAGTTCAAAGACATGTAATCACGAACTGCCCCAGGGAGTCCCCGGGGTGTACCTTTAGTTGTTCTTGCCTGGCCTGTTAGGTAACTCTCTGCAGGAAGGTGGGGGCTTATGGTAATTATGTGACCCAGCAGGCTGAGCCCTGCCCTGGGCAGTGTCCCCAGACTGCAGAGGTGGAACTGGAGGGCTTGATGGGTCAGCCCTGAGGGTGGGGTGGGCTGGGAGGGAAGGGGCAGAGTTTGTAGGACTGAGGAGGTAATTTGGGTCGCTATCACGAGAGGCTCTTATGAACGCCATCCCTCCTGCCCTCCTGCAGACACCCTGAGTGTCTGCAGACACCCCCCTTCCCCCGCTCTGTGAGGTCCACCGTGTTGAGGGCTCCCTGGCCATCACCTGGGGTGGCTCCTGGGGGCTGGTTCACCTGTGTTGTGACCCTGGAGGACCCGGTGTTTACCCTGAAGCCTGGATACTGGTTGTCCGGGGGTGGTTTTTGTCCATACCAGCCAGGAGGTCTGAAGCAGCGTCTCTTGGGCTTGCTAACTTGGTCACTCGCGGGCATGCCTGTGAGGCATGTTAAGGTGCACAGCCCCTGAGGGAGGGGGGCAAAAAAAAAAAAATCAATAAAATATGTTAAAAAAAAAAAAAAAAAAGTGAGATCAGCCGAAACTGGTTTGGCTCAGTGGATAGAGCATCGGTCTGTGGACTGAAAGGTCCCGGGTTCGATTCCAGTCAAGGGCATGTACCTTAGTTGCGAGCACATCCCCAGTAGGGGGTGTGCAAGAGGCAGCTGATCGATGATTCTCTCTCAAGATGTTTCTAACTCTCTATCCCTCTCTCTTCCACTCTGTAAAAAATCAATAAAATATATATTTTTTTAAAAAAGAAAAAAGAAAAAAAAGGTGCACAGCCCTGGCCAGCCCAGACCTTCAGGTGGCCACGTGGATCGGGGTTCAGAGCCGAGCTCATTTCTGACAGGCACTTCCTGTAGTTTAAGAAGCACTGTCTGCGGTTTCTGAAGCTATAGAAATGAAAGCAAGTGTGGTTGGAACCGGTGTCTGGGCCTGTGCCATTGCCCCAGGACGTTGGGGAAGTCCCCATCGCTTCTGGAGATGACAGGAGGGCCACGTGCAGGGCTGTTTAAATTCTTGGCTGTTTGCCCCCGTGCCTGCTGCTCAGGTGGGTGAGTGTATGGTTGTTCTGGTCTCCAGGGAGCAGTGCACTAAGCGTGGGAAAGTGAACTGGGGGGCGGAATGGGGTCCGTGGTGGTATCTGTTCCCTGAGGTGGGCCGCTCTGGCTGCAGTACCGCTCAGCAAAGGGAACAGTGGTCCGATGAGTGAGAGTCCTTTGTCTTCTAAACCCCAGTGCTTATTCCTGTGACTCTGGGGAAATGCAGTGGAGGGAAGGAAGTGAAACCCCTTTGGCCTGGGGCCACCTCCTCCGTTGAACGGGCCAAGGCCCTCCCAGCTGTTGGATTGGGAGAGCAGCCAGGGCCTGTATGGCCTGTGTGCTCATTCTGGGTGCTGGGGGAGGGGACCACGTTTGCCCTTTCCTGCCTGGCTGAGGGTTTCTTTTCTTTATTTTTTTCTAAATATATTTTATTGATTTTTTACAGAGAGGAAAGGAGAGAGAGAGTTAGAAACATCGGTGAGAGAGAGTCATCGATCAGCTGCCTCTTGCACGCACCCTACTGGGGACATGCCCACAACCAAGGTACATGCCCTTGACCGGAATCGAACCCAGGACCCTTGAGTCCATAGGCCGATGCTCTATCCACTGAGCCAAACGGGTTTTGGCCTGGCTGATGGTTTCATTTGGACCCTTGAAATGGTGGGGGCTATCCCAGGATGCTGTAACAACCAGGCCACTGTTGCCCCACCATCCCCTCCCTTAGAAATTCTCTGTCATTCCGGAAGCTGCCCCTTGCCCAGGCCCTGCCCTTCCTTTTGGCCCCATAAACCCACCAGGCCCAGCCTCCTCCTCCTCCTCCTCCCCTCCCCCCCCATCTCATTTCCCCTGAGTTACCGACATGAGCGCTGCGGTTTAGAAGGCAAAGGCCGCTCGGGACCACTGCTCCCTTTGCTGAGGCTCTCGTCCCGAGAGTAATCAGAGGTCTGGAGAGCGGTCTCTCTCTGCCCTCGGTGGCCCCCTGGGGGGTCTCTGCTGCCACCTGGCTTTCCTGGGCCTCATCCAGGGAGGAATGTAGGGACAATTTGTGCTTGGGTGGTCTCTGAGCAGCATGCTGGCCAAGGCACAGGGCGGAAGTGCCCAGAATCTGGTGGCTTCTCCAGAGTGCCGGGTCCTATATTTTGGAAAACTTTTTGCATCTACTGCTAGGGGATCGGAGGAGATTTCTCACCAAAGGCAGACCTTCTGCAGTCACCCTCCCAGAACAGGTTGTGCAGTAAGGGGCACAGAGCTGTCCCCAGATCTCTCAGCCTCTCCTCCCACCCTCCACACCCCTGCACCCAGGGTGTCCCTGCCCCTCCTGAGCCGTGGAACTGGTGGGCCCTGCCTCATTCTTACTGTGTCTCCTCGGTGTGGGCACCCTTTGTCCCTGACACAGTTTTCATGGCAGCTCCCTGTTTGACTCTCACTGAAAAGCGACATTTGTATTGGTGCCTTAATGAAAGCGAAAAGTGCGTAATATATAGCAAAGGAGTCAGAAAACAAAACAGCAGATAACTTTGTATTCGGATACCTAGACGTGATCATCTGTCCATCTGTGCTATAATGGGCCAGTGGTGGGCATCAGAGCAGTGCCATCACCTTTGCACCAAACGGAGGCTCTACCCAAAGCGCCCTGAGCCAGGCCACCCTCCCTCAGCTCACGGTGGTCTGGAGCTCCACCTGTCCTCTGTGGCCCCTTCCCTTCCCCTGGTAAACTCCTCGCTGGCTCCTGCTTCTCCCTCTGCCTCCCCACCTGCTCTAAGCTCTACCTCCAAACCCCGTCTGCCCAGTCTTGTGCATGGAGTCCCCCGGAGGCCAGTGGGACAGTGAGAGCAGACATACCCCTCCTGGGGAGGGACGTGTGCCCTCAGATAGCTCCATAAGGCTGGTGGTTACCTCTGTTAGAAATAAGGAGAGTCCCCCAAGTCAGGGGTTCTGGTAGAATACAAAACACTCGGGAGCCAGGCAGCAAGGCAAACATATTTACTTCTATGTAGAAGGGCGCACACACATGGTCTGGAAGCGCGTGCACACGAAGCAGGCAGTCTGCTCGGATTTATAATTCCTTACGCATGTGACCTGTTCTTTGCTCTTGATTGGCGCTCAGGCGCACAGTCTTTTGCGATTGGCTAATTCAAAGGGAGGGGTTGGCCTTTGCTGTTTCAAGATGGCAGCCCCCACGGGAGCTGCAAGCCATGCGGCCAACATGGAGGCTGCCAAGTCACCAAGTGGTTCAAAATGGCTGTCTTAACTGTTCTTTGACAGAAAAGATGACTTGTTTATTCTCACACCACATGGGACCAGGAAGCCCTGGAGACTCCCTGGAGGTGGTGGTAGCCTGGTCTGGGTGGGTGTGGCATCTAGATTGTTGAGAGCCCCATCTAGGTTGAGAGCATGGGACTGGGGCCTGTGGGCCCCTCTCCCCAACTCCGTGTAAATGTGGGATCCTGACTGAGTGAGAGAGGGGTGACGGCCCTTCAGCCAAGTTCTGGGGAGGAGGGGAGGTGTGTGTGGGCTGCTGAGATGCCCTGACTCTCTGTTCTTCCCTCCAGGGGCAGCGGCACCATCAGTCCCTCCAGGGCCGTGTGGAGCCTGGGCAGCATGGCATCCTCCAGCCAGCGGGTGGAGAAGCCAGGGACCCTGGAACCCCAGCCGGAGCCTGGGTCGGGCCGCGAGCTTCAGTCCTGGCGGTGCCTGGTATTCTACCTCTGCTTCTACGGCTTCATGGCCCAGATGCGTCCCGGCGAGAGCTTCATTACCCCCTACCTCCTGGGCCCTAAGAACTTCACGAAGGAGCAGGCAAGTGGACGTGGGGATAGTGGGCAGGGGTGCCCCCTGGATGGGGAAGCAGTGGGGGCTGTGAGGTTAGGCAGCCATTCCCCGTCCCTTAGGGGGCACGGACGGGCCTGACTCTCACTTATGAACCAGGCCAGTTAAAGAGTGACAGTGGCCGCAGAGGGGGTCCGAGGCGGCCATGGGTCTGAGGGAGGAGTGCAAGGTGGGGAGAGTGAGCCCACCTGCCTGGCACCTGCTCCCAGCAGAGAGACTCGGCAGCTTTTTGCCTAAGGAGATTATTGAAGGAATTTCCTTCAGTCGCCAGGCGGACAAAGGACCTTGTTGAAAGCCGACTGAGTAAGCTTACCCCAGAGGGCAGTGGTGGTGGGACGAGGAGGGGGCAGGGCAGGCTTTAGCCCTAGTGCTTTCCTTCTCCATAAAATAAAACAAAGGAACTCAGAGGCTGTTGGTTGATGAGGCACACAGTCTGGGTGCCCATCCAAGCTCTGCTCACCACCCGAGGACCCCGGCACTGCCCCAGAGCTGGTCCCGGTCAGAGCTGGTCCTGATCAGCACTGGTTCCGGGCTGTTCATCTCCATTCCCGCAGCCTCCTCTGCCCTTCCCATGTGGCCACCAGCCTCCCCCACCCCCTGTCACCATAGCCGGATCTCCCTGGGTCCTGCTGTCCTTTGATTTCTTCAGGAAGCCCCTGCCTTTCCCTGGCATGGAGCGTGGCCCCTACCCCTTGCATGCCCTCAAATTGTTTTAAGTCCAGTGCAGTGTCTGTGCGAGTGAGGCCTGTCCCCTCCAAGGAGCCATCTTGGAGATAAGGAAATGGCCACGTACTGGCCCACACAAACTCAGAGTCTGTCACTGCGTCTGACCCCAGGGCCAGTGCTGACTGCTGGAGCTGGTCACTTCCCAGGTGAGGCTGGGTGGGGGGCTGGGGCCTATGGGTTGTCTCCTGTGGCCCTCAGAACCGCCGAGACTCCTCTGAGTAACCATCCCTCACATCCCTCACTTACTGGGCAGCCGAGGGCTCTCTCCTTCCTTAGAACACCGGTCCGATCTTAAAGAGGGGCCATCGTCTGCTGCAATCACAGGAATCATCATGTACACAAAGCTCTAGTAAGATAACAGGAAAAATCCCTATAGCAAAAATTTACAAGTCCCGTTCACCTGCCCTCTCTGGTTGCACATTAGCTGATTATATAGAAGATTCCAGAAATGAAGCCATTTTCCCAAGCTTGGGTGTCATCAGAGAGACGGCAGGCTTGTGTCTGCGCGTGAGCCTGCCTGCCGGGCCTGGCTGGGGAGAGTTACCCACGTGGGCCAGAGACTGTCTTACCAAGGGCGCACCCTAGGGGATTCAACCCGGTGTATCTGCTCTCAATGGGTCACCCCGAGGGACCATGCTGCCATATCCTGGGCATCGACACCTGCTCCCTCTGCCCGAGGCCACAGCGTCGTTTCCCTCTTGCCCCTGTGGACCTTCTGCCCATCTGATAGCTATTAGACGTGTGTTTCCTCGATTTCTGCCTTGGCGTGTTTCCTGGCTGTTCCCATGCCAGGGCTGTGAGTGAACCAGCTGGAGCAAGAGGGTGCAACCAGCCCCGCGTGCTGACTGGGGCTCTTCTCTGGCCCTTGGTTTCCCTCTGTCCAATGAGGCCTTGGAGTCTGCCGGCCTCTTGGGGCTGAGGGCTACCTGTGCTGGTCTCAGCAGACAGTCCCGCTCATGGTGTGGGTCTGGTGAGGGGACTGCCAAAGGGCATTGGTGGCTATGGTAACGAGCTGCATGGGGTCACCCGCCCGCTGTCCCACAGGTCACCAACGAGATCACGCCGGTGCTGTCCTACGCCTACCTGGCAGTGCTGGTGCCCACCTTCCTGCTGACGGACTACCTGCGCTACAAGCCGGTGCTGCTCCTGCAGGGCCTGAGCTATATCTCGGTGTGGCTGCTGCTGCTGTTCGGCCACTCCGTGCTGCACATGCAGTTCATGGAGTTCTTCTACAGCCTCACCATGGCTGCCCGCATAGCCTACTCCTCCTACATCTTCTCCCTCGTGCGCCCCGCCCAGTACCAGCGCATGGCCGGCTACTCCAGGTCCGCCGTGCTCCTGGGCGTCTTCACCAGCTCCGTGCTGGGCCAGCTGCTCATCACCGCGGGCAAGGTGACCTTCCAGACGCTCAACTACATCTCGCTGGCCTTCCTCACCTTCAGCCTGATCCTCGCCATGTTCCTGAAGCGCCCCAAGCGCAGCCTGTTTTTCAACCGCAGTGAGCCTGCCCACGGCGAGGCCTCGCCCTCGGAGCTGGACAAGATGCACCCTGGCCCTGGCCAGCCCACGGGCAGGAAGCTCCCCGGGACTCTGCTGGCGGGCTGGAGGGACTGGGTCCTCGTGCGCATGCTCCGTGAGTTAGGCGCCAGCCTGCGGCTGCCACAGCTGCGCCTCTGGTCCCTCTGGTGGGTCTTCAACTCGACCGGCTACTACCTAATCGTCTTCTATGTGCACATCCTGTGGAACGTGGTCGACCCCACCAAAGACACCACCAAGGTCTACAACGGTGGCGTGGACGCCGCCTCCACTCTGCTCGGTACGCCCAGCCAGCTCTGCCCACCCGCCCCGCCTGCCCTAGGAGGATGGCAGACCGTGACTGTCCTGTCTCACCTCCAGGCGCCATCACCTCCTTTGCGGCGGGCTTTGTGAAGATCCAGTGGGCCCTGTGGGCGAAGCTGATCATCGGAGGCGTGACGGCGGTGCAGGCCGCGCTGATCTTCCTCATGTACAGCACGAGCAGCATCTGGGTGTGCTACGTGTCCTACGTGCTCTTCCGTGGCTTCTACCAGTTCCTGGTGCCCATCGCCATGTGAGTTGGGCTGTGTGGGGTGAACGAGAGGCTGAGCAGCGTAAAGCAAATTCGGTGGTGGGAGGAGTGGTGAACCTGGACACCGTTAGCCAGGGGTGCAGTGTCCCCTTGTCCATAGCACGCACACCCCAGCTGCCTGCCATGGCCCTGAGACTTAGCAAGGAGCCCTCCCATGTGGCGTATTCTCTGCTCCTCCATCAAGGCCACCTGGTGTCCACAGGGACTGGTCCTCGTGAAGTTTTTCCTCCCAGCCTCCCGCCTCGTTTCCTAAGCCCCAGGAGGTGCTGCGGTCCCACCTTGGGTTCCTCACCCTCTCTGTTCCCGCTGTGGGGAACAGCAGCTCCTGGCCAAGGAGTGACCTACTGACTCAGCTTACCTCTGTCCAGGACTCTCTTGATGCCCTCATGTTCCTCACAACCCTGGGGACCCTCCTGCATCTGCCCAGGGACAATCCTGAGACCTGCCCACAAGCTCCCCTGTACTTCCAGAACCTTCCCCTGCTCATGCTCTGCTTGCTCCTATGACCCACTGTGTTCCTTTGAACTGACCTTTCACAAAGCCACTTATTCACACCATAGTGCTCACACCATATGTGCTCACACCACAAAGGCATATACTACACATGCTCACATCACGTGTGCTCACACTACACGTGCTTATTCCACACATGCCCACACTACACATGCTCACACCATACAGGCACACCACATGTGCTCTCATACCACATGTGCTCACACCACATATGCTAATACTCCAAAGGCACATACCACACGTTGCTCATACCACACATGCTTACACCACACATGCTCACAACACACAGGCACACACTACACGTGCTCACACCACACAGAAGCCTGCCTCCCTGTGCCTCCTGCACCTGGTGGGTGTGTCTGTCACCATAGTCCCCCTGCAACCCCTAAAGTGGGGCACCTTCTGTCCTCCTTCTACTCAACCCATGTTAGAAGATTTTTCCCTCGGACAGTATTCTCTGTCTCCTGACCCACTGCAGTTCCCACTCCATGGAGTGGTGGCCTGACTCCCCTGTGCCATCTCCCAGAAGCGCCCGGCACACACTGCCCTGCCCACTTTCGGCCTGCCCCTGCCCTGGGCTCAGAGCCTGGGCCAAACCTAGTGTCCTTCCCGTCCTCCTGAGGGCTAAGTTGCCAGACACCCTGACCACACACCTGGCAGAAAGACACCTTTCCATTTAGCTGGCCAAAATGCAGGTGGAATTGGTCCCCTTGGTGACACGTGACATGCCACATGGCTAATCCCCAACTGACGGGGATGACGCCTTCAGTATTTTGCTATGATGGGCCACACTGAGATCACTATCCTCTCGACCTGCATTTTTCTTTCCCAATTCTGATGATGGTCTCAGATGTTCCTAGAAGGAACTGGCCAGGTCAAAGGGCATGTGCTTTGGTAGAATACGGCAGATGCCAAGCGGGCAGCTTGCCTTTTCTCCGTGCGGCAGGGCTGGCTCCTCCCTGGTGTCAGTGGACACTTCACCCCGTGGGCTCTCTTTCTGCCGGGCTTTCTTGTGTTCCCTTTTTGTCTGTAACGCACTTACATCTACCGTTTGTGGTAGGTATGTTACGCTTTGGCTTTCATCCTCCTTACAGAGTAGGTGTGCCAGGTGAAACACTCATGTCGAGGGTGTGGCGTGTGGGTGGCGTGGCATTGGCTGTGCTGGTGGGACCTGACCTCGCTCTGTTGTCCTAAGAATTAATCTGTCCTCTCAGACCTTTGATTGACAAGGCCTTGTCTCAGTTTGTGTGCAGTCTTTGTCATGTGATTGGTCATTCTGGCATTTCATGTATTTCTTGCTCCTCGGACCTCAGTACAGCTCTTGGCTTTGGTCATTCTCTTTAAAAGCTTTTTGGGTAATTTTATTTGTTTAGTCTTTAAAACTTTAGAATATTTCTTTGTCTTATTTTTTAGGAAATAATTTTTAAATATATTTTATTGATTTTTTTACAGAGAGGAAGGGAGAGGGAGAGAAGGTTAGAAACATCGATCAGCTGCCTCCTGCACACCCCCTACCAGGGATGTGCCCACAACCAAGGAATCGAATCTAGGATCTTTCAGTCTGCAGGCCAACGCTCTATCCACTGAGCAAAACCAGTTTGGGCTAGAATATTTCTTTTTTTTAAATTGACTTTAGAGAGGAAGTGAAAGGGAGAGAGATAGAAACATCAGTGATGACAGAGAATCATTATCAGCTGCCTCCTTCAAAGCCCCCATTAGCAATTACGCCCACAATACGGCTATGTGCTCTTGACTGGAATAGAGTCATGACTTCCTGGTTATAGCTGGACACTCAACCACTGAGCCATGCTGGCTGGGTGAGAACTTTAGACTATTTCTTATTTAGTCCTATTTTTAAAGGCACTTTGGGAATTTTAATTGGAAGTACGTTCAAATGTTAATTTCTTTGCAGAGGATAGGGAGCTCTGAGAATATTAATTCCTTCTACTCTCCTTATTTAACTGCTCTTTCTCTAACTTATTGAATCACTTAATGACTTTACAATCATTAAAGACTCTACTATCATTAAGGACTTTAATTCTAGAACTTTCCTCATGATGCTCTGCCTGTTCTCCTGAGGATGATTTTCTGAGAATGCTGCAGTGAATGAGTTACTCTGTGCCAGGGTTAAATGTCTTCCCTAGTTTGCATTTGGCACTATTTTGCATTCACTTTGTGAGTCGCTGAGGGGAGGGTGCAGTGGGTGGCCTGGGTGCTGGGCTGGGCTTGCTGGTCTCCAGTGGCCTTAGCAGGCATGGCCAGTCATCAGACCACATAGCTGCCAGTGGCACCTTTGCATTTGTGGCACTTCCTGTCCCGCCCAGCCGAGGCTGATCTTGACCTGCTTTCCCTTTAAGTTTTCAGATTGCGTCTTCTCTTTCTAAGGAGCTCTGTGCCCTGGTCTTCGGAATCAACACGTTCCTTGCCACTGTTCTCAAGACCATCATCACACTCATCGTTTCCGACAAGCGGGGCCTGGGCCTCAAGGTCCATTCCCAGGTCAGCCCTCCATTGGGTTCGCTTCCTCAGGGAGAGGAAGGCAGGCGGGGGGAAGAGGGGGGCAGGGAGAGGGGTGTGGGGAGGGGGAGGTGTCTGGGACAGGGACTCCTGGTGTTTATCCAACCAGCAGCATGGTCCCCTCCATGGGCCCCAGACCACAGATCTACTGAGGTCAGGGGGCATGCACAGGGCGGGCCGGGCATCTCCAGCTGAAAACACTAGACTTACTGAGTCAGAGCAGGAGTATGAAGTGAGAGGACCCAGGCAAGGAGGGAAGGATCAGAGAGGACTGGCGCCAGGGAGCCACGATCTGGCATCCGCTGTGCTGGCCTGTTTTGCCTCCTGGGGCCCAGGGTGAAGCTGTAACGCCACCCGACTCCACTTGGAACATGAGGCCTCTTCATTGAGTCTGGATGCAGGTCATTTCTGGAGGTCTTCCTGGACCTGAGCATCCCCCAGGATGGCTGAGGGGCTCCTCACGGGAAGGTCGGAGGTGTGCCAGCAGTGTGTGCCACGGGAAGGTCGGAGGTGTGCCAGCAGGGAGGGGAGGGCATGATCCCTGTGCCCAGGGATGGGCAGGTTGAGGTCTCTGTTGCAACATCGCTACCAGATCACTGACCTTTTAGGGTCAAAGAACAGCAGCTTCCCTCCCCTCTGGTTGCTGAGGCTGCTTTTCCATGTCCACACCCCCGGATTCTTCCCTCTTCCCCAACCGCACGGCCACATCTGTACCCGTGGTTTTGCTAACTGCGTCCTTTTTCCTTCCTGTTGTGCCAAGTTCTATCTCAGTCATCCCCTTCTAGCCCAGAGCATCTCCTTCAGCCATTCCTTTTACTCCTGAAGGCTCCTGGGCTGACAGGGTCTTTCCAGCAGGGGAAAACTGTGCCACTTCCTTGAGGCCTTCGTAGTTGATGATGAAAAATTCTACCATTCTAATTGTTCTGCCCCTAAGGTGCCATTTTTTTAAGTGGCTGCATTCAAGATTCTTTTCTTTTGTCTTTCACTTTCGGAAGGTTGACTGTGGGGCGGGGTGCCCTTGCCCCTGTGGACGGGTGAGAGCAGGGGGTGAAAGTCCTGAGTCCTTCTTTCTGGGTGGAGTTGGGTGCCGGCACCACCGGTGGGTGGGAGTGAACGTCCAGACTTTCCCTGAGAGCTCCCCACGGGGCCTTGAGCTCCACACTCCGCCTCGGGGCAGGGGCCTCCTTACAGCCTGGGTGCCGAGGGTGGTTGTAGCCGGAGCAGGGCTGTTCCGTCTGTCACCTCCTGTCCTCTGGGTGTCCCTCTCCTGGTCCTCTGGTAGAGAGAGCAGCTTTGTTGGGGCTTTTTCTCTACACATGTTGCCATTTATGGGTTGTTAGCATCTTTAGTTCCAAAATAGCTGCAGCAAAAAGGAAATAAAGCCCGAGACTCATCATACGTCACCATGCTGTGCCTCCGGTTCTGGGATCCTAGCTGGGCTTACTCCCCCCTCCTCTCCCCCCTCCCCCCCAGTCACTTTCTTTTCTTTCTCCTTTTTTTATTTTTTTTATTTTTTTTCTAATATATTTTATTGATTTTGTACAGAGAGGAAGGGAGAGAGATAGAGAGTTAGAAACATCGATGAGAGATAGACATTGATCAGCTGCCTCTTGCACACCCCCCTCCGGGGATATGCCCGCAACCAAGTACATGCCCCTGACCGGAATCGAACCCGGGACCCTTCAGTCCCCAAGCCGACGCTCTATCCATTGAGCCAAACCGGTCTTGGCTTCTTTCTCCTTTTTTTTTTTTTTTTTTTAAAAATATATTTTATTGATTTTTCACAGAGAGGAAGGGAGAGGAATAGAGAGATAAAAACATCGATGAGAGAGAAACATCGACCAGCTGCATCTTGCACACCCCCTACCGGGGATGTGCCCACAACCAATGTACATGCTCTTGACCGGAATCGAACCTGGGACCTTCCAGTCCTCAGACCGACGCTCTATCCACTGAGCTAAACCAGTTTCAGCTGCCCTAGTCTGTTTCTGATGTTGCTCTGTGTGGCTTCCAGGGCTTCAGTCATACTGGGGAAACATGTATACGGGAACCAGATGTGACTTCATCTTCCTGGAGCAAAGTCCTCCGCGGGTCCCTGGTTCCCTTTCTGCTGTGCTTTCTAAATGAGCAGGTTTCCTAGAAGGGCTGAGGGTGCCTGTGACACGAGGGCTCAGGGAGGAACTTGAGCCTGGTCTGGCTCACAGTCGCCACATCCAGACCTCCAGCTCCCCGGGTGCTCATGAGAATCAGGAGGGACTTTTTTGTGGGTCGGGAGTGCATCTCTTCGTGTCACTACTGGACCGTTTTGCCCGTCACCAGGGTGGCCACTGGCTCCGTGTGTGGGGCTGCCTGTCCTTGACCGGCTCCACCGCACGCATGCATTGGATGTCCGTGAGTCCATGACAGTGTGGGAACTCTGCCCATGGTGCGAAGTGCACACGTGTGGTCACACAAGATAAGCAAAGCACTGGAGGGTAGATCACAGAGGCCACACAGAGACAGCAAAAGTGCCGGGGTTCTGAGAGAAAGTGGTGGGAGCCCCCCCCTGCCCCCCCCCCAGGGGCTGTGCCGTGTGGCGGCAGGAATGTGGATGGGCAGGCCTTGTGCACTGTGGGACCTGCTCCTGGGCTGGCCTCTGACCCCTAGTGCCCACCCCACTCTTGCAGTGTTCCCGTGGCCTCTGAGCAGGAGGGAAAGAGAGGATACACATCCATGTGGGCAGCCTCCCGACTGTCCCCCACCCACTTGTCTGCCTCCCCTTCCCTTTCCAAAGTCCCCCCCCCCCCCCTCCCAGGCTGCCCCTGTTCCCCATCCCCACTCGCACCTTTCTCTGTTCCAGTTCCTCATCTACTTCGGGTACTTTGTGGTGCTGTCCATTGCCTACTTCCTGGGAGCTGTGCTGGGGACCCTGTGGCATTTCCTGGGGAGCCACCACCAGCCGCTGCCCCTGGGCCAGGAGCTAAGGAGCCCCTCAGAGGAGAAAGCTACTCAGGTACTGAGCCTACAGGATGGGGCCCTCAGCAACCTGCAGCCCCAAGCCACAACCCTGGCCCCGGAAGACAGCGCGTGGGCCTCAGCACCCGTCCTGAGGGACCAGTGCGAAGCCAAGGCCTAACCTGCTCTCTCTGTGAGCGGCCACATTCTGATACCAGAGGCAATCCGCTCTGCATCCTCCAACATCCTCTCTGAGCCTGAGTCCTGACATCTCAGAACGGTCCATCCCTGACAGGGTGCTGGTCCCTGTGAGCCTAAAACCATGACATCTCAGAACGGTCCATCCCCAACAGGCTGCTGGTCCCTGTGAGCCTGAAACCATGACATCTCAGAATGGTCCATCCCCGACAGGTGCCAGTCCTCAGAACCAGGAAGCTGGGTTTTTGGCATTGTTTGAATTCCACTATTCACACTACGGTACCAATGACCAATGGGGCTCCTAGGACACACACCTCGAGGGCCACCTACCTCGGCCAGGGGTGTCTTAGCTTGCCCTGCGCCTCCCATTGGTCTCTGGGGACTGGGGAGGTGGCCCCCTGTGCTTAGCCCAAGTGACACCAGCCCCTGCAGGGTGTCGTGAGCCCTGTAGGGTGGTGGTGGGGGCCTGGGTTCCCCGGGCTCGTGGCTACACTGACATTTCTAGTTTGCCCTGGTGCTCACGTTTTAAACAATGCTGTGTTCCTTTTATTTTATTTTATTTTTTAACTATCATGTATGAAAATGCTTATTGAGCCTCTGTTTCTGTGGGAGAAGCTGGTCCTGGGGCAGGCAGGCGTTTCCCCGCTAGACGGAGCCGGGGTGCTGAGGTCTTTCGTAGCTGGCTCCTCTAGGCCCTGGGCCCTGGGCCCTGTCGTCCTTCCGCTTCCTGAGGTGGGCTAACCCCGGTCTGCCTTGCTGGTGATGGAGGCCACCTGGGCTGCTCACACACCAGCCCGGAGGACATGCCACCTGGGGACCTAGGTACCAACATGTGAAAATGTAAGACCTGAAACATTAAATAAACCACATGACTTGTGAGGGTCTCCTGATTCCAAACTGGTGGTGTGTGTGTGTGTGTGTGTTGGGGGGCGGGGGTTTGCTGGGGGTCTATTGGGAGGCCAAGAAAGGGGACCAGCCTGTCCCAGGCTCAGAAAGGGACATACCCGGACAACCATGCCCTTGATGCTGCTCCTCCCATGACCCTCTGTCCTCATGCCAAGTGGGGCAGCTGAGCAGCAGCCCAACAGGCGGGTCTGGTGGAAAGGCCGCAGCTTGGAGCCAGCTTGGCACGGAGGGTCAGGAACACTCCTGGTCCAGGAGGGGTTGCTGGAGCTGGCTGAACGGGGCATCTCGGGCACCATGGAGCCGTGGAGAGTGTACACAGGGTTGGCCCAAGTCACGGCCAATGGTGTGGGCCAGACTGATGGGTTGGTCCTCAGGGTGTCCACACAGGCCACTGCTGCCCCTCTCACCCTGCTGGGAAGGCAGCACTGAGCCCAGGGCCCAGCACCATTTCCCAATTGTGCTTAGAGATCGAGCAAGACTTCATGGATTGGTTGGAGGGTTGGGGGGAATCTCCTCTGGTCACAGACCCCACAATCAGGGCTCTGTGCCTTTGGACTGGGATACCCCTTCACCCCCCACAGCAAGAATACCTTCAGCAGCTGGCCCAACTGCTCCCTCTGAGACCCTCCATGTGCACTGTGCTGCTCAAACCCAGAACTGCCTCCAGGCTCCCAGAACCGCCTCTCTCTGCTGCTCCCAAGCCCCTTGGCCACCAGGGCAGGGGTGGCATCTGTTCCCAGGGCACAGTGAGGCCTTCTCTGTGCAGCGTGCACAGCCCCTTGGGGTCAGACACCTCCCAGAGCCTGGCCGGCTGCAGCACCTGTAGGGAGAGCATGGTGGTGCTGAGTGTGAGCCCAGGGCAGGCCACCGGCACGGGCCTGGGAAGCCTGCTGCCCCAGGGAAACCTGGTGGCTGTGAGATGTGGTTCCAAGTAAACACATCTCTGTACATGGACACTGGTTTGCAGGTGGCCTACATTGTCCTGAGACCAGTTCTCTGGGGCCTAAGTCCTCACACACGCAAGTGGGCGGGCCCTGAGGGAGCCCAGGTGTGCCATATGCAGATACACACGGCTGTGCATGGACATCCCCAGGTGTACACAGATGTACCGGGTGTCTGTGGAGGACCTTGCTCCTCTCAGGTTTCCCTGGGGCAGCAGGCTTCCCAGGCCCGTGCCGGTGGCCTGCCCTGGGCTCAATACGTTGAGATTCTGCTTCCTGGCAATTGTAGACAAGTGCAAATAATCTCAAAAATTCTTGAGAGAGAGAGAGAGAGAGAGAGAGAGAGAGAGAAAGAGAGAGAGAGAGAGAGAGAGAGAGAGAGGGAGAAACGGCTGGGTGCGCCCCCTGGTGTCTAATCTGAGGACCTGCATGGCCAGGCCAGGCCAGCTGGGGCTTGGAAACAGGCAGGGCAGGAGAAAGAGTTGGCACCAAGCTTTCTGCTTTAAACTTTTTAAAAAATACACTCTTTGGCTTTCTTTTATTTCTGGAGGATTACATGAAATGTGAACCACACAGGAATGTGTCCCAGCCAGGTCCCCGGTCTGCCTGGGGGCCTCTGCCACTCCCTGCCCGGCCGGCACTGGGGGCCTCTCCACTCGCCCTGCCGCTCGGCCCCCTGCCGCTCGGCCTCCTCTCGGGGGCCGTTGGTCCGTACGTCACGTGAGCTGGCAGAAGCCCTACTTGGAGGAGGTCATGAAGCTGTTCTCGATGCAGAGGACGATGAAGGCGTGGTGGCAGCTCACGGCTTTCTGTTCCAGCAGCCTGCCCGTCAGCAGCGAGGAGGCCTGGCCCGTGGCCGTGGCGGCCTCAGTCCGCCACGTCTCGCAGTAGCTCTCCGTCAGCCGGCGCCCGCTGGGGTCCGAGCCGTGCCACACACTCTTCTGTGGCCTGCAGGACACGGGCTGTCAGTCCCCCGGGCCCTCTCCTCCTGGCGCAGAGGCCACCCTCAGGCAGAAGAGGGCGGAGGCGCAGCTGGATGTGGAGGTGGCAGCGGGGACTCGGGCCATCCCTAGGCACCGGGGACGGTGCGCCCCGCGCTGCCACGGCCTTGGGGGACGCACTATGGGGAGCAGCCTCTGGGACCCTGATGACTGGTCCCTTGGGGCTGGGTGCTTCTCCGTGGGGGCGGGACACCTACTAGTCTGACCCATGAGCCACCTTGGAAGAGCCTGCACTGGGGGAACAGGCACCCTCACACCATGCCAGCAGAGGGTCCGAGGGTGTGAGGGCGACCTGACCGCGTCCACCACTGTTTGAAGTACACACATCCTCCAACTGGGAAATTCCATTTGGGGGAATTTATGGGAGCAATCGCTCCCTGTGATGTCCTCGTGACAGACAGTGAGAGCCCCCAGGGGCACCCACCATTGGCCAGTCTCCCGGACAGCAGTCGGGAGGGGGGGGTCCCTGCCCAGGGAGCAAGCTGGTGAGTGGGTTCAGACAACACACAAAGAACGCTCTGTATCATTAATGCTCTTCTGGATCTTGTGAGTTTTAAACAGCGAGCACGCATTGGGTAGAGGGTCAGGCGAGATGGAGGTGCAGCGTCAGGGGCCTGCACTGGGCCAGTAAGATCCAGACCTCCCCCCCCCCCCCCCCCCCCCCGTCTCCCCAGCTACTGCACTCACGCGGGGGCACCTACCAGGCGGGGTGCTGCAGCACGTCCCTGCCGTCAAAGGAGAGGATGCGGGCCCCTGGCTTCAGCTGGCCCTGGGAGCCCGAGAACAAGGCCTCCCAGTTGGGGAACAGCTCCTCGTCCTGTGGAGGGAAGTGGGGCGGTTTACCCATCTTTGGTCCCCCCCTCCCCCCAACCCTCCGACAAGAGGGCCATTGGCTGGGCGCCTTAGCAGAGCAGGCACCTCCCCCAGCCTGGACCCCAGGTCTGGGATGGGCCCACCACCTGTGGCTGTGGCCTGAAACATCAGGAGCAGCCGGCAAGCACACGGTGGTGAGCCATGAGATAAAGCCATGGGAAGGGCCTTGGGGTGCTGGGGCCTTGCTGGGTTGTCAGGGGTGTGACCAGCCCAGTCCCCCCCGCCCCTCCCCGAATCCCAGGTCCCTCGTCCCAGTTCTGGGAGCTCCCCCCACACACACAGGGCCGCGCACCCACCCTGAGGTTGACGATGGGCACGGTGGCCCGGTCTGCGCGACGCACAATGCTGTAGAGGTCCTGCAGGCGCGACGACAGGAAGGCACGGAAGGTGCCCGCCAGCCCCGCCGCGCGCGCCTGCTGGAAGCACTGGAAGTCGGCGCCGCGGATGCCACGCAGGCCGCCGGGCTGTGGCCCGTTGAGGGCGACCAGGTGCAGCTGCAGGAGAGGGGCAGTCAGCGGCAGGCAGCCACCGGTGACATCGGGTAACGGTCTGGGCCCCCTTCCCCGCCTGCCCTCCCTCCGCCCCGGCCCTGCATGCACAGTAGGGTTGAGGCTCAGCACAGACAGGGCTCAGGAGAGCTGAGTGCACCCACTGGGGCCCTTCAGCCCAGGGCAGCAGAGGTGTGGGCCCCCCAAAAGCAATGCCCAGCCTGGGAGTGGGCGGTGGTCAGCTTGAAGCGGCCACTCCTCCATCTACCTCCTAAGCAAGTCCCTGCCCTCAGGCCTCGCCACCACCTCTGTGACAAAGGCTCTGCGGGGCCCGCCCCCAGGGCCGGCATAGGCACCAGCCCAGCCTCTCGGGGACCTAAGCACAGACTGGCCTCGGAGGCAGGTGCCAGAGGGCAGTCCTGGGCCCCGAGAACCCTCCCTGGGAGCTCGGGTTGGTGGGCACGTGCCCTGGGGTCACTCACCACCGGTTGGAAGTCGTGGTGGGTGTGGGCGGGAGCGCCAGTGGGGTGGTGGGCTGGCCGGGAGTGCACGTAGGAGCCGTGATGCGGCACTCCCGGGTAGGGCTGGGGGTCCAGCAGGCGTGGGGGCCTGACCAGGATGTCATCTGCCCGCCAGGGTCGTGCGGTGGAGGGGGGCAGTTCCCACCGGGGGTGCGGGTTTCCCTCGTGCAGCTGCACCAGGGGGGGCTGCAAGGCGGCCACTTCGTTGTCCTGCAGACCGAGGGGTGGATGGTATGATGGACGGGGGCTCCGACGCCTCCCAGCACCACAGGCAGGCCCCCTGGTGCCCCTCAGGCTCCGCTCTCCTGCTGGGGCCTAGGTTCCTGCTCCCTGCCCCAGAGCACCCCTGTTCCTCTTCACCCCAGCTGGTGCTCTTGGTGGTGGGGAAGCCCGGCCCTCCTGTTCATGCCTACGTCGAGTGGATGGCCTCTGCTCACACACCCCTGGCTCCTGCACACCCAGCCACCTCCTTGCTGTGGCCTGGGGGGCCTCAGGCGACCACATCTCCTGACCTTGAGGCCACTTCCTCATTGCAGCTCAGATGCCTGGTTATAACACAGCGGGCCCCTGCTCTCACTTCCTCAAGCCTTTGCTCCACTCCCACCGCAGAGACAAGGTGACCTCCACCTTCAAACCCCAACTCCTGCGCCCCCACCCACTTCCCAATTACTTACTCCCACAGCGCCGAAAGCCTTAGGACACACCTTCTAAAGTATTACTGTTACCCATATGCCTATTACTAGGTACTTAGTACCCGTGGATAGTTTATAGTTCATATAATTAACATATACTAGTGTTTACATCGAAGATTTGTATTTGTATAACTGTACTTCATGTCATGCTTCATCTGTTGACAAACCTGTTCTCTTTACTGCCCGTCTCTCCCATGTAATGTCAGCTGCAGGGGGCAGTGGCTTTGCCCCTTTCCTGCCCAGCTGTACCTCATGCCTAGAACAGTGCCCAGCGTATGGGAGGGACCCAGGACTATGTGCTGAATGAATGAGAGAATGGACTCCATTCATCGGGCTGGGCCATAGGAGAAGTCATGCTTTTTCAAAGGAGCCTACAGTTGTGAGACATAAACTCAAGTACTCACTTCAGCCCATTCATCCCCCATCTCCGTCTCCCCTGTTCCCTCTCCGTCCACCCTTGGTCCACCCTCAGTCTATCCGTGCGCTCTGTTCTCTGGTTGAAGGATGGCAAGATTCTGGATTCTGGCCCCAGGAGCCTGGGGAGGACAATGGGCACCCATCTCCCCAGCTGGGGAGGCCCCAGGATGCTCAAGCACTACCAGTAAGTGTTGTTCCAGAAATGGGGGGCAGTGAGCAGCCACCACTGCATGCCCCACACGCCCTGGCATCCACCAGGCTCAAAGGTTTGCAGCCCAAGACCGACAGCTGGGAAAGAACAGGGCTCCTCACCGTCCCACGTGGGAGTGGTGTCCGGGCCTCCAGCTGGAAGGAAACACGGGGGTCACGTCAATGACCTGATTCCCAGCACCCACAGCGGGCAACCCTCCCGAAGCCACGTGCCCAGCCCGGCCTCCCTCTCCGTGGAAGCCAGCATGGCGGCATCTGGGGCCTGCCCGGGGCCTGGCACACCACACGTGTTCAAAAGGGTGAGGGCTACTTCTCTGTAAGCCTAGAACTCCTCGAGAAATTCTACTAAATAGTAATAATAAAAAAATAGCATGAGGAGTGCTGGCTGTCACTCCTCCCTGCGGGGTGTCGCCCTAATGGGATGGTCTGAGGGTCCTGACCGTGGCAGAAGGGGCTCGCTGTGGGTGCGGGCAGTGGCCTGGATCCCTGTGCCCCTGCCCATGGGCCTGGGGCCTTCCTCCTCCATGCAGCGCTTCCCACCTTCTCCCATGTCCGACCCCCACAAGTGAGGACAGGAGGTGCAGGAACAGGCCACCCAGAGAACTCACCAGGACCTTCCGGAACCCATTTCGGACGCGGACGTACAGCTCCTCCCTGTCAGCCACGAAGATGAGCCAGCCCTCGGGTACCTCGGGCACCTTGTCCAGCATGGTCTGGTACGTGGGCCAGATCCTCACCTGTTGGAGGCCGGCCCAGTGGGGCCCCATGGTGTTCAGAGGCAGCACCAGGTTCACCAGGGGCAGGGTGTTGGTGAGGGGGGGTGGGGACAGAGATGGCAGATGATCCCAACAGGTGTGATGTTCAGGGACATTGCACATTTCCAAGTGATGGGGTGAGGACATGGACTCCCCAGACAGAGGACAGTCCTTAAGACTTAACTGGGCACCTTCTTGTCAGGCTGGCCCTAGGGACATCCCATGAAGGCAGGGTGGGTGAGGTGCCCTCGGAAAGGGGGAGAGGGCACTCAGCATGGTCTCTCGAGTACCCACTGCCCACGGGGACCTCCGTCATGGCTGGCCCCTTCCCCCTGTCCATCTCAGTCACGGCCCCCAGGCACCCCACTTCCGCTTCAGAAACCACATTTCAGGGCAAAGCAGGGTCCCTGTGGGGTCTACCCAGGACTCATCAAACAGCTCCACCCACAGGCCTCCAAAGCAGGCAACCAGGCAGTGAGTGGTGGGGGCAGGGGAATGCTTACCCCTGAGGAGGTGCCCAGGGATCCAGGGGGGCCTGGAGGCCCAGGGGGACCAGGGGGGCCAGGAACGCTGATAGCTACAAGAGAGAAGCCAGAGTGGGCACACGCCAGCCCCAGCGGTACGAGGCTGGAGCCCAGACCCCTCCCCACCCAACTTACTCTGCCTGTAGGGGCCGGGAAAGGAAGGCGGCCCCGGGGGCCCTGGAGGACCAGGGGGTCCCGGAGGCCCCTGGCGCCCTTCATAGCCAATGCCAGGGGGTCCCTGAGGTCCAGGTGGGCCGGGCTGGCCCCTGATGCTCTCTCCTTTAGGACCCTAGGACGGACAATGGACACATGCAGATGTCAGCGAGGGCCCGAGGCCAAGGGCACTGAAGTCTGAGGGGCCGGGAGGCATCGCCAGGAACCTCTGCAGGAAGCACGGCCTCTGAGCCGTGGCACCTCCCTGCCCATGTCCAAGGCCTGGGAGGACACCCCACCCCTACCCCGCACCCTTGTTGCCGGGGTTTGACCCCAGCTCGTGCACCAGAGCAGCCCCTGAACACAGGTGGCCCCCAAGGGCCCCTAATCTCCCTCCACCCCCCAGGCAGAAGCTGGGCCACTGTTCCCTGGAATCTTTTAGGGCAAAGGGTCCCCCTGAGGGGACTTGGGGGGTCCCCGATTAAGAGGAACAGTGCCTGCAGAAGATCAGGCAGGAGAGCTGGGTGAGGGCTCCACCCTGTCCCCCACTTCCCTCTGGAGACAGTCAGTGTGCCCAGCCTGGTGGGAACAGTGACTGTGCACCCACTGGGCTGCCACGTGCCCCCTCCATAGGGCAGAACCAGGGCGGCAGTGTTCAGGGCCGTTTGTAGGGCGCAGCCTGTGGGCCTCATCGGGTGTTCAGTGCTCAGCTCCTGGCCCCAGGGGCCTCTGGGAACACGCACAGGCCTGGGTCTGTGTGCGAACACTACAGGATGGCCTGAAGCCCAGACTTACCGGAATGCCGGGGTAGCCAGGCGGGCCAGGGGGTCCAGGCACACCAGAGCCGAAGAATCCGCCACCCCCGGGCTCACCCCTTTCTCCTTTCTGCCCGGTGTCCCCTCGGTCACCCTTGTCGCCCTATGGATGGAAATGCGTGTTTCAGACAGGCCAGCTCTCGTTGCTGGTATGGGGAGGGGCGGTGTTGCCCCCCCCCGCCAGCCTGGAGGGGGCAGGGTGAGGCAGCCGGGAGCGTCTGAGCCCAGGCCTGGCACCACCAAACCAAACCAGGGATGGCCAGTGCCCCGGGTGCGGTGGGCAGAGGGGAGTGCTGGGTGGAGCAGTGGGCGGAGGAAGGCTCAGCGCAGGGATAAAGAGGTCACCCACCTTCAGTTCAACTTCTAGATTGAGGAGGTCGAACGGGAACTGCCCTACAGGAGGTTTTGAATGGGGCCTCAGTGAGACACGGTGGGGCCTTTCATGTATTACCCCCCGCCCCCTGCCCGGACACACACTCCCATCCGCACCTTCTTCCATCTCTCTCTGTAGAAGTTTTGTATTTCTGTAGAGATTCTTTGCCTATTTTCTTACAACCTACTGCCAGTTTTTTTTTTTTTTTTTTTGGGTGGGGGGATGTGTTTATTAATGGTGCCTTTTTAGCCCTGTCAGTTTCATGGCTGTAACCGCCAGAAAGCACTGTTGGAGGGTAAGGCGCACAGCAGGATGACTAGACTTACATACGCGGCGAAGTGATCGGTAAGTGTACTAACATCCATCGTCTCATACGGGTGCAGAAAGGAAAAAGTTTGGGAAGTTTGTACCCTTTGACCCTCTTCGTCCAATTCTCCCTCCCCGCACCCCTTACCCCGACAATGACCAACCTCTTTCTAAACTTTTAAATATTTCCATTTTGTTTGTGACTGGTCATGGATTTTGTAAATTGCCCTCATGACCTTGATCTACTTCCTTATTACTTCTAACACTCCATCTGCGATTCCTTTTGGGTTGTTGATCAAAAACGTGTTGCCTTTGAAAATGGCAGACTTATTTCTTCCTTTCCAAAAACGTACAGCAGGTATTCCCTCCCTGCCTCCCCCCTGGCCAGGCCCTGCGCCCGCAGCAAGGATATTTATTATCTTGACCCCGACTCCGGAGCCGCATGGGTGTCCGTCCCCATGGACACTCTGCCAGCTGCGGGGTGGCCCCTTTCCCAGCATGATGCTGCACCTCTCTCCCCCTCCCCACAAGGCCCTCAGCTTCCCCACTGGAGGGCTAGGTCATCTCTGGGAGACACACCTGGGTCCAGCCCTGATTCTCAGCAGGTGGGTGATAGGACGCGCTGCCCGGCCACTGTCTTTGCCGCCCTGGGCCCTGTGGTGGCGATGGGCCACCCCACCCGGTGTCCTTGAGTCCAGCCCACGCCCTACAGGTCCTGTGAGGGTCCCCCAAGCCCAGAAGGGGCTTCCTTCCTCCCGGAAGGCAGGACAAGCCACCCCAAGCACAGCCCCTCAGCCCAGGGCCGCCCAGCACTCTCACCTGGTGGTCCGGGCGGGCCCACGTCTCCTTTGTCCCCCTTCGGTCCAGAAGGCCCCTGGTGCCCTGGAGGGACGGAGACCCCAGTGCCCATTATTGAATGTGTGAGAGGACCATGCCCTCTGGAGCCCGATCTGAATTGTGGGCAGCAAGTGAGTGGTGACTGTGTCCACTCCCACCCAAGGTTAGGTCGCTAGGGAGTTCATGTGGCCTCAGAGCCTGGTGGGCAGGGGTCACCTGGAACCTCTTGCTCAAGTCCTGGAGCACCCAGAACCCCAGTTAAGGGCACCCAGCCCCCAGCTCTTCCAGGGCCGCCAGGAGCCCTCACCTGGCAAACCGGGAGGTCCCGCGGGGCCAGACTCCACAAATGCCTGCAAAGAGTAGGCCAGAGGTAGCTGTTGAGGGGGACACTGGGAACTGAGGTCACCACCCACCCAGGGGTCTCTGAGCCCAGAAGCCCCGGCACCCTCTTCAAAGGCACAGAAGCATCCTACACCTGCACCCCGAGATTGGGGAGCAGGGAGAAGGAGGAGAGGACACGGGATTTGGAATCAGGAGACGTGGTCATGGCAGGAGGAGCCCCTCATGAGTGCACTTCACGTCTCTGAGCCTCGTGAAATGTCATGTCCACCTTCCCAGGGACAATGGGTCTTGGGGCTCAGGTACCCAGATCCAGAGAGCTCACCCCACCACCCCAGCCTGTACTTTCCTGGGGGCTTATCTTCTAATTCACTGTGGCCCCCGAGGCAGGCAGCCCGGTGTCCACCATGGGGCTGCCCCCCAGAAGGACCCCATCTTCCCTACTCAGAGGGAGGAAGCCTCCAGGGGCTTGGGCTAGCCCTCCTCGGGGTCCATGGGGGTTGATGGTAGGAAGGTGGCAGCAACCGAGGACTCTGTCTAAGGACTGGGGAGGGGTGAGCAAGAAGTGCCAGGCGACTTACGTTGCTGTCGTAGACAGGGGTCCCGGGAAGGCCTGGCGGCCCAGGAGGCCCCGGAGGCCCTGGGAGGCCGGGTGGGCCCTAGGAGGGAACAGAAAGCTCGGGTCAGTCACGTCCACAGCCAGGTCAGACCCTGGCTGGGGCGGCAGATGTGGGCAGCAGCATTTCTGAAAGTCACATGGTCCTCCCTTAGCCACTGTCCAAGTGTGGCTGAGGAGGGACAGACAGAAGCAGAACCAGCGGTGGGATGCCCCCGACCAGGGGCACATGCACAGCCATTTCATAGCCGCCTTTAAAACTCAAAGATGCCTGGCCAGCGTGGCTCAGTGGTTGAACATCGACCTATGAACCAGGAGGTCATGGTTCGATTCCCGGTCAGGGCACATGTCCGGGTTGCGGGCTCGATCCCCAGTGAGGGATGTGCAGAAGGCAGCCAATCAATGATTCTCTCTCATCATTAATGATTTCATCTCTCTCCCTCTCCCTTCCTCTTTCTGAAATCAATAAAAAATGTATATATAAAAATTAAAATAAAACTCAATGGTGTAAACAGAATTCAAGAGCCTCTCTTCCTTATTCACAAATGTGACCGATCATTCAATCACTGAAGAGTGTTGATTTCTAGTCTTAATTGTTCCCAACGGCCCAGTCTTCATCAACAAGAGAGAAGGAAGCTCCCAGGAAGAACCAGCAACAAATAAAAAATTGGAAGAGCAGCCGAAACCGGTTTGGCTCAATGGATAGAGCGTCGGCTTGGGGACTGAAGGACCCGGGTTCGATTCCGGTCAAGAGCATGTACCTTGGTTGCAGGCATATCCCCAGTAGAGGGTGTACAAGAGGCAGCTGATCGATGACTCTCTCTCATCGATGTTTCTAACTCTCTCTCTCTCTCCCTTCCTCTCTGTACAAAATCAATAAAATATATTAAATAAATAAAAAAAAAAAAACTGGAAGAGCGACTGCCTGGAACTCGGCTCAGGACCACCATCCTGTCTGGTTGAGCTGTGGGAGCTCGGGACAGGGACCGGGGAGGCCGAGAGGGGCCCCAGGCTGAGACGTGGGGTGGGGCTTGGCTTCCCAGAGAGAATGCACGAGTGTGGCAGGAGGGGCCCTGGGTGTTCGGAGTTTCAGAAGCAAGTCCCAACTCTCAGGACGAAATGGCTACATGCCCTACCCTGCTAACCTTGCTAAAATAAAACCCTTGGCTCAAACAATGGCAGAGTTACTGCGAGTAATAACGTGGTGTTGAGTGAAGACAATCCTGGAGCTCAGAGCCCACGCTAACCTGGATGCCCTTCTGAGAAAGAGTGTCTGTGCCCGGTATGCTAGAGCTGTATGTGTGCATGTGTGCGTGTATGTGCATGTGAGTGAGAGGACAAGCACAGCGTAATCACACCACTGGGTCCCTCAGAAGCAGCCTCCTGAACATGAGCCTGGGGCCCAAGGGTGTTCCCCCAGGCCATTCTGGGTGCTGGGGGCCCCAGTCGTGCCTGTCTGCCCTGGCAGGACACTCACCTGTGCACCAAATCCGACCCTGGTGTCTCCTGGCTCCCCTTTCTCTCCTTTGAATCCATTCATCCCAGGACGACCCTGGGGAGAGTGTAGGGAACCTGTGGGTGCTGGGCCAAGACCTCAGCTACCATCTCAATCCCCACCAGGACAGACCCAGCTCACCTCCAGCCTCACCCCACCTCAGCCCTCAGGCCCCAGGGGGCTGGGCCCACATGCTTCTGTCCCCACCCCTGCTTCCTGGGGGGTGTCAGCCCCTCCTGGGTCTGAGCTGTCCATGAGCAGGGCCTCCTCACCCGTGTCCCAAAGAGAGCCATGCTCAGGCAGAGGCCACCTCAGGTGCAAAGCAGTAGGAAGGATGGGAATCAAAACCCCCCTCAGAGCCCACTGCCCCCCGGGCCTGGTCCATCTTGACCCAGCACCTCTACCAGCAAGACCCTCGATCCTTACCGGTCGCCCGGGGAAGCCGATCTCTCCTTTGTGCCCAGGCCGTCCGTACGGACCCTGCAGAGAGGAGGAGCCATGTTTTAGGCGAGCAGAGGGAGGCCCTGCTGTGGTCTACCACCAACACCTGTCCTGCGCTTTGACTGTGAAGCTGGGATGTAAGCTTCGGTCACTCATGCTTGGCAGTAGCCAGGCGGGAACAGGTGCTTTTCAGAGCACAGCACACACGTGTGCATGTCGGGGAGGCCGGGCCTACTCACCGGAGGTCCTCGGAAGCCGGGCTCCCCCTGAACAGAAACCAGAAGCACTGTTAGATGACCGCACAGGTCATGCCCCCCAGACAACCCCGCGGGGTCCCCGTGCCCATCTGGATGCCCCCTGGCAGTCCCATGGGGTCCCTGTGCCCATCTGGATGCCCCTTAGGCAGCCCCTCGGGGTCCCTGTGCCCTTCTGGATGCCCTCCGGGCAGCACTGAGGCACTGATCTCCGGGGAGGGAAGGAAACAACAGCAGAGAAGGTACTGAATGGTGTCCTGTACCAGGGGATGAACGGGGCACACCCTGAGAGGCCTGCAGCTTGGGAGACTGCCCTGAAGTGTCCTGGTTAGAGTCACCCTGGTCCTGACCTCAGGTACAATGGCAGGTGGGGCTGGCAGAGTATTCCCTGGGCCTGGGACCCAAGGTCCCGTGGCCATCCCCACAATTCTGAGGGCTTCCAGGCCCCTGCAGGCCTGTACCTACAGCCACCTTATCGGGGTCCAGTTACTCCCAGGACCCACCCAAGGGCCCGTCTGGAGAGATATCTGCTGGGGGCAGAGGATGCAGGACACGGGCCCCTCAAGGAGCCCATGCCTGAGCCCAGCCAGGCCCTGCTCCCTCCTGAGGAAGAAGGGCCAGGACCCCAGCAGCCATCCCAAGGCTGAGGGGCAGCAGACACAGCAGGATGGGCAGCTCCCACTGGGCACAGCTGGGGCTCCATCCCCTGCAGGTGAGGTCAGGCCAGGGCGTGAGCCCAGAGCCGTGGCTGGGAGTGCCTCCAGGCCCCATGCAGGGCTGGCTCAGCCATCGGACGCAGGGTGTGACCAGGGCCAGCTGGGCTGCAGTGCATCTGAGCTGCAGAACCCTCCCAATGTGGTTGTGAAAGAGGAACAGACAGGGAAGGGCAAGGGGGCCCCGGCTATGGAAGGTTCCAGAACCCATGCATGGACAGGGGTTGGGTCCTCTCAGGGAGCCACTCCTCCCTCTCCCCCGCCCATGCTGGGTCTCTGGTCCCTGGAAATCCCGCTCCCCAGCTGGTACAGGAGAGAAACAAGGCCCGGGGGCTCACCTTGGCTCCTTTCTGGGCAGGGGGCAGCATTCTGCCATCGGCACTGAAGACCATGCCGGGCTCACCCTTCTCACCCTAGAACCCGAGCAGCGCAGTCAGGGAGGCCAGCTCCAGGGGGAGGGCCCTCCAACCCCCGCAGCAGAGCCCCAACTCTGGGTCCCCACAAACACCCACAACGGGGGCATGTCAGCAGGCTCTGTGGTTGGGAGTCTTGGCGGGTCCCCCATATGTCACACGGAAGTGACGAAAAGGAGAACCCAGGTCAGAATCTGTCCCAGACGTCAGGTAGGCCGTGCAAGCGCCCAGGTTCCCGCCTTCCCAGACAGCGATCCCCTGGGGCGCCCAGGACTGCCCCTCAGGGTTCACAGAGGGGACCGTCCCTGAGCAGATGACACCCAACTCCTCACCTTGGGTCCCGGGGGGCCCTGCTGGCCTCTGAAGCCCATTTCTCCCTTCGGCCCAGCTGGTCCCTGCAGGGAGAGAGGCGGGAATGAAAGGGGGCTGCAGCAACCATCCCCGTGCTGGCCACTCACGGTCTCTCCCAGCATGGCTGCCCGGGAGGCACCTGCCTCGTGGTCCTGACCAGTTACAGGCCCCAGACCCCACGCTAGACCCCGGGGGCGCCTGCTAAGGAGCCGGAAGGTTCCTCAGCCTAGCGGGCGCCCAGCCTGCATGAGGGTTCCTCACAACATGGAAAGCTGCTCCCTGCCAGGCGGGGGCGGGGCTGAGGCTACTTACGGGGAGGCCTGCGTACCCCGGCTGGCCCTGTGGGATAAAGCGACAGTGTCACCGGGGACACCGGCCGGCGCAGGGCAGCCAGACCGCGTTGCGTTCCAGGCAGGGCGGCACGTACCTTGACTCCATGGGTCACGGACACTGCTCTCTGTCACCAAGGCGGCAGGAACACAGAGCCATGAAAAGAAAACCACGCTTACAATTAAAATCCCGCTCTCATCGCTGCTACAAGACAAACAACTCTAGAGATCAACCATGGGACAGAGTTGGCTTGGCTTGTGCCTCTAGGCCCCTCAGAGGAGGAGTGAAGCCACTTCTGGGAGCCGCCTTCTGGCCTGGAGAACCAGCCAGTCCTCTGGGACCAGTGCCCCCACCTCCCCAGCTGCACAATGGGGGCCAGAGGGGGTACAACTCAGCCAAAGGGGATGCTGGAAGGCCTGGTTTCGACAACGAAAAACCCCAATGTCTTTTGGGGTCATCCTGTGGGGGAGGGCTGCTGGCTCTGACCAACGTCCTCCTACATTGGAACCAGAGCGTGGCCCTGGCAGTTGGGGGTCTACCCTGCACTGGGGGTCCAGGCAGAGCATGTGCCCACCCATGCAGCGTCCTTACGTTCTGCTCCTCCGACACGTAGACCACGGGCCCCGGGAGTCCGGGGGGCCCGGGGGGCCCTGGCTGCCCCACGCCGTCCTTGCCTGGGTCACCCTGGAAGGAGAAGCCTGTGTCCAGTGCTTGGGTTGTTTGTAGAGGAAGAATTGTGTTTCAGGGGCTCTGGCCCTCAGATTTGTGGGTCTTCACCCCAAGTCTCTAGGAACAGGTGGGGCAGAGGGCAGCCTCCCACATGCACCCACCACCCCACCTGAGCACCCAAGTCCCCTCCCCGCCAACTCACTTTCTCTCCCTGGGTTCCTTTTTCTCCTTTTGGTCCCTGCAGAGACAAGAAGGAAATGTTTCATCATAAACAGACCCTGAGGCACCCTCCCCCACCCTGGGACACCCCGGATGGTTGGGACCCGCTCTGAATGAGGCATGGAGAGTCCTTTCACTGACCAACTGCCCCGGGGAGGTAGGGGGAGGGAGCAGGGAGGCAGATGAGCCAGACAACCACAGGAAACCCCCCCAGGCAGCCTGGACTCCCGACTCATCCCGGGGAGTGGAGTCTCCAGGCCCCGTGGCGTACAGAGAACTCAGTTGGGTGACTGCCTGAGAGGCACACTGGAGTGCCAGCTCTCACTTTCGGGGTATCACCCCCCTGGAAGCCCTAGGTGGGTACCTACCTGGGCTCCAGCCACGCCCTCTTTGCCGGGGAGGCCAGGAAAGCCACGGGGGCCGTCGGCACCGGCTTCTCCCTGAAAGGACACGAGGAGCGGACCGTGCGTCAGACAAGCCCAGTGGGCCGGGGTGGGGTGCTGATGGGCTGGGGCGCAGCCTCCTGGAAACGCTTAGGGGGCAGGAGGGCAGGAGGGGGCTGGGGGCCAGGGGTCGGAGGAGGGACAGAGGACACGTGTGGTGTCCACGGTGTCTGCGGCAGAGCCAGTAAGCCACAGGCAAGCCTAGGGGAGTGGGGGTAAGGTGGAGGTGAGCACCCTTGGGACAAATAGGACTTAATTTCGGAGGAATGAAGTCAGGGATGAATGGGGCGGGGGTGGGATGGGGGGAGAACACTGATGCTAGGACGGCCTGGAGGGGAGCCTTTTACTGAGGCTGCGAGGAGCCTGGGCTGATGAGGCCAAAGGAGCCGATGGGCGCAGGCCGAGGACACCCCCCACCCCCAACCCCACCCCCAACCCAACCCTCCCACCCCCACCCCCACCCCCCGCCCAGGCCAGGGCCAATAGAGACTGCCCATTTCCAGGACCAAGGGAAGGTGCTTACCTTGGACCCTGGTGAGCCAGCTATCCCAGGATCCCCCTAAAGTGGGGGAAGAGGTTCTGTGAGGGCAGTGTTGGGCCAGCCCAACCCCGTGGCGACATCCACCCGCCCCCGGAGAAACGTAAGAAAGGGTTAGTGATTCAGGTAGCGTCTCACACGGCTCCCCTCCCCCAGCTCAGAGCTGAGTGTCCAGGCGACACTGAGCACCGTGTGCACAGGCTTTGCGGCAGGCACGGCTAAGGGGTGGCCACATGCTAAAGGCACACGGCTGGGGCTATCCTGGAGGCCAGGCCATCGTGTCTTTCTATGAGATGGCTTCATTTTTTACAACTTAATCTAATAGGTACTTCTAAAAACTCAACTTCTGAAATGTCCCCAAGTTTTGCAAATCAAAGCAAAACATTCTGGAAGTAAGAGGTGGAATAGCAGGGCTGATCCCACAGTGGGCCCCGCATGCCTTAGAGGCAGGCCTTCGAGGAGCGAGCAGGAGCATAGAGCAGCCCCAGGGGCAACCCCTCCTGGGGGCCCCTCTAGCCCTCATCACCCCTGGGGAGGGCGGGCAACCACCTCAGAGGGGCAGGTGTCCTTCAGGGATAGGCTGGAGAGCAGAGAGAGAGCAGGAGGAGGAAAGACAAGGTTGGGGGAGGCCTAAGAGAAGCCCCCAGGTCTCCGGGGCACCATCTGCTGCCCTGGAGGCTGTAGGGGTTCCTCTCCCCCCAAGCCCTTCTTCTCTCCAAGTCAGCACACACTTCCAATGTGTGAGGCCAGGGATCTCAGGTCATGCAGCTTTAGAAAGAGGGATCAGACCCCTCACCACACTCCACCACCACGTAGGCTCTGGGCTGGAGTGAGTGGCCATTGTCCCCACATTTCCCATGATGACCCGGGGCGAGAAGTGGTCACTAACTCCTGGCTGGGCGGAGTGCGGCAGCGGGAGCAGTGCTCCCTCATCTCGTGCTTACCTTGGCTCCAGGTTGGCCCGGTGCTCCCTGTGGGGGCAGAGAGGGAAGAGGCCCTCAGAGTCTGGCACTCCTGGGAGCGTCTCCCTCCCACAAGGAAACAAGCCCTCCCCAGAGCTGCTGGCTCCCAACAAAACAGAAAAAAAAGAGCAGCCAGAGCCCCCCCTTAAAGTCCCACCAAGAGGGTGGTTTGTCCTCGAGTTGCAGTGGGTGTGCCAGGACCCGTGCCAGCCCCCCAGGAACATCAGCTCAGGAACACGCGCACATAAATAAATTTGCACTTTACTTAATAAGAATAAGTGCATGACTTAAAAATAAGGGCTGTGACCGCTGAGGGTCCCCATCCCCTCACCTCGGAGGCCTGAAACAGAACCCTCCTAGAGGTCCAGGGGCCTTGGAGCTGCGTGCTTGGGCCTGGAGCCTGGCAGAGGGGACCCGTGCCCCCAGACCTCGCTGCCTCTGCCCACAGGATCCTCCCCACCTCTGTGTCACAGCAACGATTCTCACTGCCTGGCTCACACCTCACCTGAGCCAGGGCAGCGAATTGCTACTGACAAGGACTGAGATGTTCTAATACAGTGTTTCCCAAAGTGTGGTACGCGTACCCCCAGGGGTACGGGAAGAGTTTGGTGGGGGTACGCGTTGCGCTGGAGTTTGGTGGGGATATGCACTGCACTGTGCTTAGCTGCGCCTAATTCTACGTTCTCATGAGTACGAGGGGTACTCAGCGTTACGAAAATTATAGAAGGGGTACACATATGTCAAAAGCTTGGGAAACACTGTTAATACATAGACAGCAAGAATCTAATACATAGACAGCAAGGTGCTGAGCCGATGGGGCAGCCGTCCCAGCTGACTATGGACGTGGTGTCTGTCCGGCCGCTCCCTCTAGCTGAGATGGCCAAGGCGCCAAGCAGGAGAACTCAGTGACTGAGATTTCACAGAAGGAGCATCGTTCTGGGCTCATTCCACCCCACACTCATACATAATGACCACCAGGGCGTGTTCCCACGTGGGAGAGCCTCCAGGGTGGATGGTTCCCCAGACACAGCTGGTCTCACTGGCTCTGCAGTGCTGCTCTGGGTCCCCACGCAGGCCAGTCCCAGGGACACCCCTGCCCCAAGTGCCCCTGCACCCCAGAGCTGACCAAGCCTGTTCACAGGCAGTACCTGCAGCCCATCAGCACCTCGGGCTGACAGCAAGAAGGGTCCCCCGGAGCCTTCCATGTCATCCTGGAAAACACAGTGACTCAAGTCAGTGTCTCTTCTTGAAGAAAGAGTCCCTCTCTGAGGCCAACCACTGGCCCGAGGCAGAGATCTGGCTGTAGCTGAGCGGGGCGGACACCAAGGGCCTGGTTGCCTGGTAGCAGCCATCCTTGTCCTTGAATAAGAAGGGTCTGGCTGGGGGCAGGGACCTGCTGGATAGGGGCCCACTCACAGAGCCTTGTACGTTTAGGTCATTCATTCTTGCTCTGCGCGTGTGCCAGGGACCTGGCTGTGTGATGGCACTCAGTTTCTGCTTTTATCTCCCTTCAGCATCACTTGTAGGACACGGTCCCCAAGCAAAGACCATTTGAGTCTGTTCCTTCCCAGCGGCCATGGTTCCACCATGGGGCGCTGTCCAGGCAGTGATAGGACTCAGGAGACACACCCACACTCATGGCCAACCAGCCATTCTGCTGAGCCCGCCCAGCTGCTCCCAGCTCACATGTGGGGATTCCACTACGGGCAGTGGGTGTGGGATGCTGGGAGGGGGCCGTGGGCACACGAGGCTTTCCGGGGCCAGGAGCAGCTGGTACTCACAAACCCTGGGGGAAGGCCTGGTCCTGGAGGCCCGGGGGGTCCTGGGGGTCCTGGTGGTCCTGCTGGTCCGGGGGCTCCTGCCAAGCCGTTCTTTCCGGGAGCACCCATGGGTCCAGAGTCTCCCTTGCTTCCCTGCAAAAGTGGGGAGAGAATGTCATCACTCTGGGCCATCAGGGTTGGTGTCAGCTGATCCCTGAGGCAGTCACTGTGTCCCCAGCAAACCTGCGTTTCCTTACAAAGCTATTTACAAATCTGCAAAGCCTTCAATATAGATAATGTTCCATGAAGCAAGCAAACCCTACTGCACCTCTCTTCCGAGTTTATGAGAGGATTTCATCCACTTAAAAATGAAATAACTGAGATGTTCGTTTCAGGGGTGCACCGTGCACAGAGCATGCTGCACAGCTGGAGTTGGTGGGGATGGAGATGGAGAGCCAGGGGGTGCTGTGGCAGGTGAGGGGGAAGGGTGCTGCTGTACGGAGCCCGGGGAGGGGGGCTTGGAGTGAGTCTGGAAGGCCTGGTACCCCACTGCAGAGTTTGGGTGGGTGTGGGTGGAAAGGGACATGAGGCACAGCCTAAGGGAGGAACAGGGCCAGAACGCAGGTACAATGTGGGGTTCCAATCTCAGACACAGACCTACTGCTCAGAGCTTGAGGACCCTAAGGGTCCGGCAGGAGCCCAGTGAAAAGAAAGATACTACGGAAACCAGTTTGGCTCAGTGGAAAGGTCCCAGGTTCGATTCTGGTCAAGGGCATATACATTAGTTGCGGGCATATCCCCAGTAGGGGGTGTGCAAGAGGCAGCTGGTGGATGTTTTTCTCTTATCGATGTTTCTAACTCTATCCCTTTTTCTCCCTTCCTCTCTGTAAAAAATCAATAAAATATATTAAAAAAAAAAAAAAAAAAAAAAAAAAAGGACACTGGGTCACAAGACAGGGAGGCCCTTGTGCTGAGTCCAAAGCTGGACACAGTGCCGCCCCCTTGTGGCCACCTGATCCTGAGCTCAGTTTCCTCATCTGTACTAGTAAATGAAGATGACCAGATTTGGGACCAGCTGTGAAGGACACTCCAAGCCCACTGATACACTATCAGGGCACAAGTGTGACCACTGCCCTATGCTGGCAGCACCCCTGCCTACTAGCAGGAGGGCACCTTTCTCTGGCTCAGGCAGTCCTGACCACAGCAGGATGGACAGAGCCCGTGATCAGCACCAAGGACAGCTCCCTGGCCCTTGAGCCTGCCTGCCCTCTCCGTGCCCTTATGGGGGGCAGGGGCTACTTCCACCCAGCGGCCAATCCCCATCTGGAGGTCCATCTTACCTTAGGTCCTGGGGTCCCCACTTTGCCCTGCAGGAAAGAGAGGAATTTCTATACAAACAAACCAGTGAGCAGCCAGCAAGAGAAAAGCACGCAGGGTTTTCATTCGTTTATCCCGGCCCACAAGCCACTGTTTTCCCATTTCGGTGATTTTCCTCTCTTCTGGACCTGGGAGCTGGGATGCCCAGGAGAGCCCGTCTAGCTCAGGTGGCCAAAGCAAGGCGCTCTGAGCAGAGGGGCCTTCTCAGCTGAGCCCAGAAAAGCCATGAGCTCACAGATGGTGCCACATGGAAGTGTCTTCCAATGCCTGCGGGTTGGCACTCCCCTCAGCCCTGCCTTCATGCACAGAAAACCAGACGGAAACCACAACCCCAATTAGAGGTTTGTGCAGCCTTGAACACTTCTCCATTCCCGATGCAACCACAATTGAAACTTGAAATGAAATCTCCAAATCAGAGGAAGTGTTAATAGTCTTCAAAATACATTAGGCCAATTGCCAGAGAAAGTGGTCACGAGGCCCTGAATGCTCACATGAGCCTCGGCTCTGAGCGAACTTGGGGAGCCCGAGGCCCCCGTTGTTGCACCCGGATGACAGTGGTGGGGGAGGCTGCCTGTTGGAGAAAAGCCACCCACAACCTTGGGTGTTGCCACCTTATGGCATTTCTCCTCGTGAAGTCACCAGAGCCAGACCCCACGCCCAGGGTTCGGTCACCCTCTGGCCACACCATGGCTGTCGGACACCTCCACCCGGACACCCGGAGAAGTGACTTACCAGGCTGCCTTTCTGGCCGGCCTCTCCTGGCCGCCCGTCTTTTCCTGGGGCTCCCGGAGGTCCCTAAGGGAGAGAGAGCAGAGTGTGGGGCCGGAGGGAAACTCAGCAGCTGAGAAAGAGGCGGGTTAGCAGGTGATCTGGGTGTCCACAGATGTCCCGAGGATCCAGGACACACCCAAACCCCGTGGCTCACAGTAACACCACAGTAACACGGGCCAGGAAGCTCACACAGCTCCGCTCAGATTTTTAATTTCTTCCCCCCCCTCCCTTTTTTTTTTTTTAATTGCTGGTCAAACTGAGGAGCCTCTGGACCCCTGGTGAGGGGCCTGCCTCACCCACGATGCTGGGGCGGACTCTCACTGAAGTGGGAGGGCGTGCTGTCAGTAGGATGACCCCACCCCTGGTGAATTACCCATCCAGAGCACGTTATCAAGTGACAGCCAGGCTCCTCGCACCTCGTTTCTGAGGCCTGATTGCAACAGTGGCATCTGTGGGCATCACCAGGCCACTGTGTACCGTTCCCGGTGCCAGGAGCGGGGGAGTAGCTGGGCTCAGAGACCCCTGTGAATGGTGGGTTGGCCAAACGTGGAACCCTCACAGCTCCCGGTCCTTGGGCAGTGGGGCCCACCCCGATCCCATGAGAATCACTTCTGTGAAGTTGGCTGCCCACTGAGGGACAGAGAGATAGATGACTGGCATTGCATGTGGTCACCTGGCGGGTCAGGGCCCAGAAACATCAGGTTCCTCCTCACGGAGAGTGGGGAGCCTCCCTCCTGGAGGACTCAGTGGTGAGGGGAGCTCCTGCCCAGGCAGGAAGAGGCCCCCATACTTAGCGTTCCCCCACATTCCCAGCTGACCCTGATGGCGACAAGGGCAGCCGAGGGGAGGCAGGTCTTACTGGGGGGCCGGGGATCCCAGGGCGTCCATCCCGCCCAGGCACACCAGGAAGGCCTGCGGGTCCTGGGACGATGGAGCTGTTCACCCCGAATCGGCCTGGCTCTCCGGGAAGGCCTGGGACGCCGGGCGGCCCAGGGGGGCCAGGGAAACCTCTCGGGCCCTGGACACAGAAAAACAGAACAGTCATATGCAGGGCATCCACCAAAGGACAGCACCCCTCTCCCATATCTGCTGCCCCCAGTCCACTTGTGCATGGAGACACTCAGGCCGAGGGACACTCACCCGAAGGTTCTCCAGGTCACCGCTGAACCCGGACCCCTCCATGTCGATGAAGGTCTGAGGGAAAGAACAGACGCCCTTCACCCAGAGCCCTGACCTGTCCCCCCGGCCCAGCCCTGCCTGCAATCGGGGGAGCCCACCCACCCCGCACTGTGCTGTCCCCTAGCACTTCCCATCCCACCACCAGGGAAAGACGGGAAACAGAGAGAGAGAGTGAACACCCCGCCCTCTCCTCTGAGTGAAAGAAGCTTGAAGGAGGCCCTCTGAGGCCCAGAGCCAACCGGAGGGCCCCTGCCCCACTCCCTGGGCACCATAGGCCCGGACACCTGACTCCCCTGGGCCCAGACACCCCCAGGAAGGCTGGCTCCAGATCCGAGGCCAAGTAGGGGAATGAGAGGGTCCCTCCTCTGGGGCAGTGGGTGGACCCCGTGCGGAGGAGGCCCGTGCAGGACTCACCAGCTTGTCGTGTCGGAAGGAGGGTCCTGGTGGCCCCGGAGGCCCTTGTGGTCCTGGGGGACCTCTTGGCCCAACCCCAGGATCCCCCTGGGAACAGAAGATGCCTGGTTACACCTGGGAGCACAGCCCTGCTTGGATCAGGGTCCACCCACAGCCCCAGCCAGGCTGGACTCACCTTCTCACCCTTGGGGCCCACGTCTCCTGGGGTTCCCGGGAAGCCCTGCGGGCCGATGTCCCCCTGGAAGACACAGGCAGGCAGCTTAGGCAGGGAGGAGGCCTCTCTGTCCCATCACGTCTGAGCCACAGGCATGCAGCTTTGTGGCTGTGAGGCCTGGACGACTGCTCCCACTCAGAGCACGGAGCACTGAGCAGCGAGGAGGAGCAGAGCTGAGCCTGAGCTGGGACCACAGGTGGGCACTTCTGACCCTGGGGGTTCCTGAGGCTTTGCACGTGACCCCGTCTTACAGACAGCACCTGGGGGAACCGCAGAGCTGCCTGCAGCATGCTGGCCATCCCCACCGGAGCGTGGGCACCCTGCCCCTTGTGCAGGGTCGTGCCACGTGGGTACCGTTCCTGTCCGGGTTGGCCATGTGCCACTCCCTCCCGCCTGCTGCCCTTTGCCGGTCTGTTGCTTCCCAAATCTTTATCGGTGATGACTCTCTTGTGTCATTTTATTGTGTTTTTTTGAGACGAGGAGTTGTTGGTTTTTGAAAAACCAAACGAAGAATTTTAAGATAGAAACTACATGGGTTGAGACGGCAACTAACGAATCTGTAACTAACACCTGCAAATAACCGTCTCCTGCTCCGTGTGTGCTGCCTTCAGCCACAGGCAGCCTTTCGTTTCTCTGTTATGCACTTTCCCCTCGAAGGATCTGGAAGCTATACCCTTCCCCCCTTTTTAATTCTGGTAATTAGCCTAACCATCTCAATATATACACATAACTTCATTATTTTTTTTTTAGATTCTCACCGGAGGATATCTCTCCATTGATTTTTAGGGAGAGTGGAAGGGAGGGGGAGAGACAGAGAGAGAGAGAAACATTAATGTGAAAGAGACACATTGATCGGATGCCTTCTGCACGTGCCCCAACCAGGGCCAGGGATGGAGCCTGCCAACTGAGGCATGTGCCCTTGACTAGAATCGAAACCTGGACCCTTCATTCTGGAGGTTGATGCTCTATCCACTGAGCCAAACTGGCCAGGGCATCTATATTAATAAAAGCATAATATGCTAATTAGACCAGATGTCCTTCCAGAGGACCTTCCAGATGCTCGGGCTGCAAGGGCTGAACTTGCAAAATTTTTGTGCATCGAGCCTCCAGTAACTTTATGCTTTTCTACCAAGAGTTATACTTGTGTGTGTGTTTTTTAACTTGTATTTTCTTAACAAAGTTAAGTTGCATTTTCTAAGTGGCTTCATTTTGAAATCCCTTCACCGGGTTGAGCCTGAGGAGCATCACAGGATAAAGAGTGCTGAGGGTCTCACAGGCAAGAGGTGGCTCAGAGAGAAAAGCACACTTACGGGTCTTCCGTCCTCCCCAGGGTCGCCCTGGAACAGGAGAGAGAAGAGGTTAGTGATGGGCTCTCGGGCTCTGGCCCTACCCCACCTGGCGTGGAATCGGACCCGGGCTGCACACCTCCACAGACCTGACGCCCATGGCAGGGCATCAAGCACCTCCCACCCAGCGTCGGACCACCTTCGTCCTCGGTGGCTCTGCCCGCAGCCTCCCCGACACCTCCTGCTCTCCCACAGGGAGGGCAGTGGCCCACACAGTGCCTACCATCCTGGGGTCTCCAGGTTCCCCAGGGTCCACTGCTCTGCCTGATCAGCTGCACCCTCTCCCCCTCCTGCCTGAACCCCCATCCCCGCGGGGCCAAGGAGAAATGTGTACTCACTGGCTCACCGTCCCTTCCAGGGGCACCATCCTTCCCGGGGGGCCCTGCGGGTCCAGGGGGCCCCTGCGGCCCAGGGAGAGCCCGTGCAGGGGGGCTCTGCACCACTGAGCCTGTGAGATCCTGGGAGGAGGAGAGGACAAGGTTGGGGGCCACACACACACTTACCTGCCCACCCCACCACACTCCCGAGACACAGGGTGGACACACACAGGGGACACAAACAAGAGTGGACATGCACAGGGTTCGGGCTGGTTGCACGGAAAGGGGCCTGCCCAGTTGTCCCCTATCCCTTCCCACATGCTCCCTGTGCTCTGGCCAGGGCCCCCCAGCCGTGCCCACTGGTGCCAGGCGTAGGGACACAGAGGAAGGGTATGGACTCAGAATTCGGCCGGGACATCAGTGAGGGGACCAGAGGGACCGACTACTCTGAGGCCCCCATGGTTCTGGGCCAGGGATGCAGCCTCACCTCTTCCATGACATCTCTGCGGTCCCAGGTGATGACTGTACTTGAGCCAGGAAGGGTCTGAGCTGGGGTGGGGGACAGAGGTCAGGCCCTGAACGTGACCCAGCCTCTGACCTCAGCTCACACTCCCTCTCCCCCCTCCAGGGCCACCCGTCACTCCTAAGCACACACTCCAGTGCTCTCTCCCTTATACTCACTGTTCACACACACACACACAGTCCACTTCTCTCCTCACACTCACACACACACACTCCACTTCTCTCCTCACACTCACACACACTCCACTTCTCTCTCACTGTTACACACTCATTGTTATACACATACACACACACTCCACTTCTCTCACACTCACTGTTACACACATACACTCCACTTCTCTCACACTCAGTTACACACTCACTGTTACACACACACACACACACACACACACACACACTCCCCTTCTCTCGCCAAGCTCCTAGAGAATTCCCTGCATAATCATGACCCTTCCCCCTGAACACCACGTCTCCCAAGAACGAGCACTTTCTCAAACAACCTGATGGTCTCATTTGGGAAACAGCGCTGTCACACAGTGACCTAAGGCAGCCGGACTCCGGCTTCCCACTGCCCAGTGGTGTCCTGTGTGACTTCTTTTTGGGAAGTGGTGACAGTGGGGAAACCAGGCGCCACCAAGGATCCTGCCCAGAGGCCAACTCTGGCGCAAGCAGCCCTGCCTGAGGTGCGCATGTCCCAGAGCTGTGCACGCACCACCCCGCAGAGAGGAGCGCCCAGGCCAGCGCCGTGCATGTGTGTGTGTGTGTGTGTGTGTATGTGTGCGTGTGTGTCCCCGTTCCCCATCGCCCCTGCTCTTTGCTTCTCCCATTTGCCAATGTCCTCATAGCTGCAGGGCGGGCGCCTTACCCTCTGTGCTTGACACGTAATTTGTGGGCGAACTTTGAGACTGTTCCCCAAAACCTTTCACCCAATCATTCCAGCATCACAGAGTCAATTAGCAAACACAGGGCTCATGCTGGGTTGAAGTGTCCCGGGCACTTGGTGACTACAGAGGCCCATCTTCTGAGGGAAGTTCAGAGGCACATCCGATCCTCCTGGGGTTTGATCGGCCCAGGGATAGCCTAGCAGCAGAGCTGGGGGACTGGGTGGATTTGGGGAGTTTCATCCCACTGTGCACCCGATGGCTCCCGAGGGGGCTCGCTCTCACTGCCATGGCTGCACAGCATCACCCACATGCAGAGCTCTGGGACTCCTGTCCTGTTTCCAGCAGAAACCGAAGTTGCCCCATGTGTGGGCACCTCCCACCACCCCTCTGCTCTGCTCAGAGCCCTGCCTCCGGGCCCAGGTGGATGCCGCCCAAGCAGCCCTGACGCCCCACCCGCAGGACCCACTGAGTGCCACGTCAGCCAGGAGGGGTGCCCAGCCCCTTCCCGGAGGGTGTGGGGTAGACACCTCCCAGGATGCATTCTAAGAATTAGTGTGATTCAAGGCCAATTTCAAATCCCTGCCTACACAGACATTTAAAATCAAAAAACCAAGAGAAGAGGAAAGGAAGACCTCCGTACGGGGAGAGAGACTGTGTTTCTGGGTCAGGAGACTGTTCTTCTTTAGACTCGGTATTCTTGAGCTGTCCCGGCCCCTCCCCCAATACCGATTTATGGATTCAACGGCATTCCAACCCAAACCCCAGCAGGCTGTTCTTGAAAACACACACTGACAAACTGATTCTAAAATCCACCAGAAAAGCCACAGGACAGAGAACAGCAAAGCAGTTGTGTAAAGGACAGGCAGATCTGGGAAACAATAAACAATAAGGACCTGATCTCGGGTCTCCGCACAAGGCCGTATACACACTGGCAGTGTGTCCCACTGTCAGTACAGACAGACCCACGGACACAGGGGAGTCCAGGGACAGGCCCACACAGACAGACGGCAGCTGGTGCTCGGCAAAGGCCCCAAGGCAGCTCGGGGGGCAGAAGGACACGCTTTTTGAAAAATGGAGCTAGAAAAACTGAACCTGTGTAAGCAAAAAAAAAAAAAAAAAAAGAACTGAGATCCACACTTTATGCCCAGACGGCCCCTGGACACACAGGACAGTGAGGCGGGGGCTGGGCTGCCCCATGGCCCAGGTGGGCATGCACCCCTCGCTCAGAACTCTTGAGGGGCCAGGCGCTTCACCCACGTCCCCGACAGACGCCACACGCACCACGTCCTCAGCCTCTGAGGGAAGATCCTGCGACGGTTCTCACTCTCCATTCTTTCCTGTTTCTAATTTGGCTGTGCTGGCCACGTATCATTTTATTGACTTAAAAGCAACCAGTGCTGTTGTTCTAAGTGAAAAAGGTCTATATACTTTTCTAAAACCTCGACATCAATGTGCAGACAGAACTGGACAGAATCCCCTTGAGATTCCCATTCCCTGGTTATTCAGCCTGACACGTACCCAGGCGCCGCTGTGAGATGTGATTGGCAGGTGACTAATTAGCGGACTTGAACACAGGGAGGTTATTCTGGAATTTTGGGGTATGGCCCGATCATTACCCAAGGTCCCAAAACAGAAGAGGAAGGCAGGAGAGGTGAGGCAGGCGGGCCCCCGAGGAGGAGCCGAGGAATGTGGGCGACCTCTGGAACCCGAGCATGGTCCCAGCAGTAAAGCACCTGACTCTCCTTCCTGCCACAGCAGCGAGCAGACCTCCCCGGGGCCTCCTGCAGGGAAGCAGCCCTGCCCACTGGGGATCCGGGGATCCCAGCAGGACTCCTACCTGCAGTGCCCCGAGGCAAGACGGAATCTGCGGCAGTTTGTTGTCGCAGCAATGAACTCAGCAATGAACTATGACACACTCCGTTTCCCATGCATTCCGGGCACCCTGCCCCTGCTCCACAGGCCTGTGCTTGCGGACTCCCCCGGCCAGCGCACCTCCCCGGCCGCCATGCTGGTCCCAGGGCGGACCCATCTCACAGAGGCTCTGGGCAGATTTCTCTGCCCTCACAGCCTACTCGCAAGTCCCCTAGCAACCCCCTGCCCCCGGGCTGAGCAGCGGCATGGCACTCCGGCAGCACCCTCCAGACAGTGCCACAAATACCCCAGAAATAAGACACAAGAAACAAACCCCGGGAAAGAGAAGGACGAGTCCCAGCAGCCGCTCTGCCCTATTTCTCCTGGGACAGCTCCTTCCCATAGGTGGCCCCGCACATGCTGACCACTCCCCAGTCTGGGGGCTATGTCTGCGGTGGACAGGAGACCCTCACCCACCACACACACGTGTGTGTATAGCACTAACACGCACATATACCATACACACTCACACCATGAACACGCACAGCACGAACATGCACACACACCCACAAGAGCTTTACCTCCCAACAGAGACACCGTGGTTGGTTCCTCGATTTCTTCTGTTCTGGAATCTTCTGAGTGGCTGCCTCCAGCCAAGGGAGGAGGAGTGACCGGGGGAGCCTCGGGGGGGCTGGGTTTTAGGGGCGCTCCCTGGCCAGGAGAGAGTGGGAAGACGGCTCCGTTAGTCAGCGGACGTGGACGTCCTGTGACTGTGTGTGCTGGCAAGTGCCAGGTGTAGGTGTATGTTGTCTGCAAAATGACATCTTCCTAGACGCCCAGAAAGGTAAGAAGCCATCAGGACTTCATCTCAGCAGGAAGCCCAGGGCCAGCCAGAGCTATTTGCTTCTAAACAGCCCGTGGGGTGGGGTGCCCTCGCCGGGCAGCTCCACCCGGAAGTTGCTGAACTCCCCAGGCCCAACTTCCCCATGCAATGGGGGGGGGGGGGGGAGACCAGCGCCCACTCCCCGGGGCTCAGGACTCAGGGCGGCACCTCGGGGACACTCCAGGGCCCACTCCTTCCCGTGGGCCCCACAGAGAGGGGCCGTGATCAGCACTGTCACTGATGCTCTCAGGGGGATCCGGCAGTTCACTGCACATGCTGGCGTGGCTGTGGCGTGTCCTTGGCGAGAGCCCCACCTGGCACTCCATGGCTGGGTGACTGCCTCCCACCCCGCCCAGAGGGCCTGAGGCCACTCTGCTCTGAAAACCGGTCTTCCCTGTTCCCAGAGGCACCATGGAGTCGAGGATGTGGTGCAAATGGATTTTTTAAATACGCAGGCGAGACACTTCCTGCAGCCGGCCACCCCCCATTTGGCACGAACTCCCTGGGGACCCTGTGTGTGACTGACGGTCACCCTGGGAGTCTTGTCTGAGGCCCCTGCTCTCCCATCAGGCAGGCAAGCAGCAGCCAGAACCAGGACACCAGGCCTTTCCTGTGGCCAGGACCTCCACCTGGACCAGGCCCGCCCACCCTAGAGGCTTCTGCCCAGTCCCTCTGGTGGTCAGCAGCCTCACCCATCGTGGCCTGCTAGTGGGCATAGCCAGGGACAGGCTGTGGGCTCAGGGACCCCTTTTTGGTCTCTGACCCTCCAAGCCGGCAGTCGCCAATAGGTCAATGAAGTCCAAAAGGCTGGCCACTGCTGATTCTCTAACGAGAGGCATGGCACCCTAGCCAGTTTGGCTTAGTGGATAGAGCGTCAGCCTACGGACTGGGAGGTTCCAGGTTTGATTCCAGTCAAGGGTACATGCCTGGGTTGTGGGCTTGGACCAATGTGCAGGAGGCAGCCAATCAATGATTTCCTCTCATCATTGATGTTTCTCTCTCTTCCTCTCTAAAGTAAATTAAAAAAAAAAAAAAAAAAAAGAGGGAGCATGGCCCAGGCTGGGATGGGGCCCTGGGAGGAGACCCTGCTGGCACTCACCTCGTCCTTTTTGAGAATCTCCGGGTTCTCCGCCAGCCCACTTCCGAAGTCCCCTGACGCCTGCGGGTTTACAGAAAAGGGAGAAGCTGGTGACTAGCGCAAACCAGGCAGGTCCCGCCTGTCCCGGACCCATTCCAGGCTGGGTCCTGGGAGAGCAGGAGGGAGAGCGGAGACGGGGAGGAGGGGGCAGGAGGGGGGGGGGTTGTGGTCACCAGGAGGGGGCTGGCTCTCTGAGGTGTCAGCCGGTCATCAGTGAGGCATGCCCGGTCAGAACCATTAGAATGGCCCATTGGAAATCAATTTGGTTCCGGGCCACACACAGAGAACCATAAAGAAGCATGTTCCTTTCTTCCCACGGGCCATCCTGTTCCCGGGTCACTGTCCTGGGAACCGGCCCAGAGGCTTATCAGCACACAGGCCACACAGTGGACATGGAGCAGAACAGAAGGAGCTGAGGGGCCAGGACCGGACGACCTCACCCTGTTCACAGCTGTGTCTACAGGGGCAGGTTTGTGGCCTGGACCCCCCCTCCCCCCAGGACACGGCTTTCCTCCTATCTGTGCACACCCAAGAACAGGGGAGGTGCCTCCTCAGGTCCACCTGATTGTGTGCACCCACACCCACACACTGACACACGTCTGCGGTGCTGTCTACCAACTATCACCCCTGGCTGTCCTGGGGCCAGTGTCCGCCCAGCATTCACTTTGCACCGTACGTGTGTTTTGAGTGGAGAGTTATAGGGGAAATGAAAATGTGCCAGATTCCTGGTACCTTGAATGGCATCTTTCAGAGAGAACATTCTAGTTCCATCACTTTGGGGTTCCTGGGGTGAAGGCTGGCCCCTGCTGGCTGGGGGGCTCTCCTCCCATAAGGTGAGGGTGGGGGTGGAGGAGGGAGACTCACCCCGTCGTCATCATCGTCGTCATCGTCCTCCAGGCAGTGCGTGGGGCTCACCTGGGGGTCACTGCGCACCCTCAGCTCCGCGATCATCCCCTGCACACAGAGGGAGAGAGAGGTCACTGGTGGTGCCGTGGCAGGCGGCAGGGGCACAGAGAGACTGACTCAAGGAGCCTGGCATCGTGAGGTCAAAATTTCAGGTGACACAAACCAGCGTGAGAGGTGCCCTGTCCTGGGTCAGGCCCGTGCTGCTCCTGGGCAAACCTCAGGCGCAGCAGGAAACAGACTTGAATTAACTGGTTGGAATCCAGGTCTTAGCTCTCTTTGCAATGTCACCTTTTCATAAAACAAGTGAGAAGAGAGGACAAAACAGCCCAGTGACGGGAACATGGTTCTCTGGTTCTCTGTGCACATGGGCCACTCGGCCGGGTCAGTTTCGCCCGTTCACTCTCTCACTCATTTACTCACTCATTCATTTATTCACTCACTCACTCACTCACTCACTCACCCTCTCCATCCCTTCCCACACAAGCTCCCTCACACGCTCTCAGCCCTGCCCCGGGCACCAGAGCACCAGGACACGGCGGTGAACAGGGCCCTGCCACCTTAAGGCTTAGTGTGGATCTCAGAGGCAGTCGTGCCCAGGTAAGGAAAAGATGAGGTGTGTCCCTGAACGTGGTGCCCCTGAGGGACACGAGGCAGGTGGCACTGGATGGGGGAAGGCCGGGAGGGCAGCAGACACAGGTGGGGCAATGTCCTGAACGGGAAGTACAGAGGGTCCACCCTGTGGAGAGGACATGGGGCACCTACTCAGGAGGAGGCCCTGAGCATGAGGCTGGAAGCTGGTTGGGGACAGCACAGATGACAAAGACCTCAACCCTGGCTGCACCGGGGCCTTCTCTGGTCTCCAAAGGGTAGAGCAGCAGGGGTGGCATCAAGTCCCGTGTCTGGATCTCAGCAGATTTCGAGGAACCAAGTAGGTAAAGTTGGGCCCCAGGGGCCTCCAGAGCCAAAGGGGCACCTGCACTAAGGTGACCAGACGTCCCGCTTTTGGTGGGACAGTTCTGATTTTTAACAATTTGTCCCGAGGCATTTTTTAAAAGTCCAAAAATCGGGACTTTTTTAAAACGCCGCGGGACACAGGACAAATTGTTAAAAATTGGGACTGTCCCGCCAAAAGCGGGACGTCTGGTCACTTTAACCTACACACCCAGGAGGATCCTGTGCCTGCAACATGTGATGTGTTGGGACACAGCACAAGCAGGCTCTGCTGTGCACTGCGAGTTCTGTCTTCGATGCCACTTCCTAAAAAGTCCTCCTACCTGGAAATGTGGAGTGTTCCTAGAGCTTTCTCTAGCATTTTCTGTTTTCTACTTACTATCTTTTAAATTAAATATATATATTATTGGTTTTTTTACAGAGAGGAAGAGAGAGGGATAGAGAGTTAGAAACACCGATGAGAGAGAATCATCAATCAGCTGTCTCCTGCACCCCCCACTGGGGATGTGCCCGCAACCAAGGTACATGCCCTTGAGCACATGCCCTTAATTGGAATCAAACCCGGGACCCTTCAATCCGCAGGCCAACGCTTTATCCACTGAGCCAAACTGGTCAGGGCAGTTTTCTATTTAACATCTTGACCCACTGGGATTCACTGCAGTGCAATTTTTCCTAAATAGAGCCCATAAAGAAGCATGTTCCTTTCTTCCCATATGCCATCCTGTTTCCGGGTCCCTGTCCTGGGAAACAGCCAGAAGCTAATCAGCGCACGGCCACACGGCGGCCCGGAGCAAACAGAAGGCAGCTGTTCAGTTCTAGGAAGCACCTTTTAACCACCCTTCAATAGAAGGCCTGGGTCAGAGGTCAGCGGACATTCTCTGGAAAGGGCCAGTTGGTCAGTATGTCCAGGCCTTTGTCACAAGGACTGTGTTGTAGCAGGAAATCGACCAGGACGGTATGTAAAAGATGGGGCGTGGTTGTCCAACCAAACTTTTGGGACACCAACGTTTTACATCGTAAGACTTTCACGTGTCACAAAATATTCTCCTTTTTTCCCTAACCATGTAAGCATGGAAGGCTGGCTAGCTTACAGGCTGAATGAACACGGGTGGCAGGCTGGACCTGTCCGAGGGCCAGTGCAGGCTTCGGCCTAGGTCATTCTGTTTATTCCTCCAAATGCCCTTCGGACTCCCTTTATCAGCTCACCCTGGAGCTCCTGACCTTCCTGTCCTGCACCAACGAGGGACATGTGACCATAAACCACCAAACATCTAGATGAGCCCTCAGCTGCAGCTACACTCATCCTTTGAGGCTCCACTCAGGCTGCTTCCTCCAGGAAGTATCCCTGGACTCCCTCCCCAGGCCGGCTAGCCTCTCTGGAGGCCAGTTCTGCTTGACTCCATGTTCCCCCTCCCACCTCCACTGCTGACGATGAGGCCTGTGGGAGAGTGTACCTGTGTGTTTGTGTGTGTACACGTATGTGCATGTGTATTATGTGGATAAGTGCATGCATGTGGACACGGGTGTAGGGGAGGCACACACCGTGTCCACCACCACTCAGGCTCTAAGGGTACCAACCCCCAAAAGAACTGAAGGCCAGTTTGGACTTAAAATTGCAGGGGTCAGCCTCTGGGGTCAGCAGCAGCATCACATTTGAGATGCAAACTGTTGGCCCACAAGCCCTGCTGAGGGAGGGGCAGGGAGAACCTCAGATGACAGACACCCAGATTGAGAACTCAAAGAGACAGGCAGGAGGGGCCAGATGTTAAAATTCTGGAATGCTCCTGGGTGGCACTTTGTGTGTGAGGGTTGGGCAGGGGTGCTTTTGGCAGGTAAGGGGTCAGGGTGCTGTATGTCCCCATGATCCTCCACTCACTGATCCTGCCTGCGAGGCTCCGAGCCTCCAACAGACCAGACCCATAAGGGCCTGAATGGCGAGGGCAGAAAAGCACAGACCCCAGCCACGGCTGAGGCTGGCAACTTCCCAAGGACAGAGTTAGTTGGGGAAGACATCACTGGCACAAAGGTCACAGGAACCACTGCAAATACTGAACAGACTTAGAACCCCATTGGGAAATCCAGAGATGTCGTTCATAAAGACCATTTAAACTCTGTCCTGCCACTGCTCCCCCACGGGCTACATGTCTCACAGAGGCGTGTGACGATCAAAACCCTACACTGTGAGAGCATGTCACTGAGGTTGCTGGTGTTGGGACCCTGAGTATTCTCTGGGGATGGCTTCTGGCCCACCCTTTCTGCCCCTGCCTGTAGGGCGTATACTGCCAGGCAGTGGGACAGATAAGCCTGTATGGGCGAGGGAGAGACCCAGAACTCTCAGGCCTATCTCACCCCCACCTCTCAGCCTTCTCTCCTCTGCGGGCCTGGTCCCTTGTCACCCACCCCAGCCACAGCTGCGGCCGCCCCCCTCCTCCCCCCTTTCCTTGTACTCCAGACCATCTCTCTGAGATCCTGCCAGACTCCCTATCTACACCAGCATCTATCTGGCTGCCTCGAGGTTCCTCCCCGTGGGGTCAGGCAGGGACTTGTTCCTCCATCACAAACACCTTTCCTGCCCTCCATTCCACAGAGTCAGGACATCGCACGGTGGCTGCGGCACTGTGTCTGTGTCACATCCACGTACGCCACTTCCCATGGGTGACAGGGTTCCAAGCGTTTGGTCAGCATGGCCTGGGGGCCCCAGCACCCCCTTGGTCAGGAATGTGGCCATAGTGGGGGGAGAACTGTGGGGGCTGGAGACGCTCGCACCCTCCCTGTTGCTCTGCACCATCCTCGGCGTCGAGCCTGCCCCGGTGGCCCAAGCCCGGGTGGTCGGTAGGCAAGCTCTTGGCTCCCGTGGGCCAAGGCTGGTGTATGTAATCCAGCCAACAAAGCTGCAGGTGAGCAACGGTGACAATGTCCGCGCTTCTCACTGGATGCACGGAGTGACCGTGGGATGTGCCAGGGACAGGTCAGGCCTGTCCTGCCCGCCTGGAGGCTGCGGACAAGGGTCCAAGGGATTCGAAGGCAGTTTGTCTGACCACAGACCCTGAGGCTGACAGAACCATAAAGGAAACCCCTTTGGCTTCACCAAGAAGCAAACAGGGAATGAGCAAATGGGGACACTTTCCCCAAAGAGCAGGGACGTGAAGAAAATGTGAGCAGAGCACCTGAACAGGTAAAAAAGGGAGAAGTGCACAGCCACTGAACAAGAGTCAGACGTAGCATGTTAACAAGCAAAACACTGTAATGACTGCGTGGAACAAACCGGGTCCAAGGGATATTTATAGCCAAATCTGACAAGAAGAATAGAGCTGAAAAGACTGATGAGGTTCCAGAATTTTCTGTCAGGAGAAAAGAATAAAGTTCTGTAAGGAGCCACGGGGACCCGTCGGGAGGACGCCTCTGAGCTTTCGTTTCTGCCAAATCATATAAATCACTCGACTGGAGTGATTCTTTCCTTGTACTAATCAATCTCGTCAGACAACGGGCTGCTCCTCTCACCGAGCTGGAATCTGACCAGAAACCCACACAGAACACGCCTGGAGCTTCTCGTCTGCGCAGACAGAGGAGTCAGACCTGGCCTGGACTGAATGTGGCACAGCGAACAGGAAGCAGGGCCACTGCCAGAGCCAAACAGAAGCCTTAAACTACTCCCCACTTCTGTCTGTCTAACCTAGAGACCCGGCTAGGATGCAAAGTCATAGGAGTCTTCCCTGGGCCAGATTAAACCACACAAACACTTTAAATATCCCAATGGTCTTTAACCAGTTAACTGTCATGGTATTTTGAATTTAATTAAAAACGGTCGGCTACGTGCATCTATATAGATGCTTATTATGGCATACAAATGGTTAAAAAATTCAAGGTAAAAAGGCAAATGACAGCCCAAGCTGGCCATGCTCAATGGACAGAGCATTGGCCTGTGGACTGAAGGTTCTCAGGTTTGATTTCCGTCAAGGGCACGTGCCCAGGTTGCAGGTTCGATCCCCAGTAGGGATTGTGCAGGAGGCAGCCGATCAATGATTCTCATCATTGATGTTTCTAACTCTCTCTGCTGCTCCCTTCCTTCTCTGAAATCAATCATTTTTTATCCTCTCTAATAAATAAGAGAAACAAACAAATTGACCATACCTTCTTTACACCCACAAGCCATGCCCACCAGCCAATCAGAGTGAGTATGCAAATTAACCCAACCAAGATGGCTGTTAATTTGCATATCCAGACCAGAGTGAGGACTGAAGACAGCGTAGAAAATAGCCAAGTGCTGAAGAGGGAGCGAAGCTGTGGAGAAGCAAGCAAGTGGGGCGACAGAGAAGGCAGGGAAGCCAGTGGGGCATGGAAGATTGCAGCAGGAAGCCCTATTGCAGGAATCTTCCTGCAAGGGGCTTCTAGTGTGTGTGTGTGTGTGTGTGTGTGTGTGTGTGTGTGTGTGTATACATATATACATATATATAAAAAAGACAAATGACAAGACTGAACATAAACTGTGCACCTATGGATGAGGACAATGGGGGATGGGGAGGGGGCGGAGGGTGGGGTGGGAACCTGGTGGAGGGGGGAAGAAATGAGGAACCTTTGTAATAATATGAACAATAAAGATTGATTAAAAAAAAAAAAAAAAGACAAATGACAAACTGGGAAGTAATATTTGCAGCACACCAAACGAAGGATAGGTTTCTTCCATATGTAAAGAGTTTGTAAAAACCAACAGGAAATGGCGTGAACCCATCAAAACAGAAATGCAAAGAACATGAACAGGCTAGTCATAAAGGAAGAAATACAAATAGGCAATAGCCGAAACCAGTTTGGCTCAGTGGATAGAGCGTCAGCCTGCAGACTGAAAGGTCCCGGGTTCGATTCCGGTCAAGGGCATGTACCTTGGTTTCGGGCACATCCCCAGTAGAGGATGTGCAAGAGGCAGCTGATCGATGATTTTCTCTCATCGATGTTTCTAACTCTCTATCCCTCTCCTTTTCTGTAAAAAAATCAATAAAATATATTTTAAAAAAACAACAACAAAAAACAAACAAACAAAAATAGGCAATAGAAGCATGAAAAAAATCCAAGACTGTCTTCACTCACAATAAGAAACGCCTACTAAACCCCCCAGGTGCAGCTTGCTTATGCATCCAACTGGCAGCCATGCTTTTGCACAGATGACACATGTGGCCCTGGCCAGGCCTGGGGGGAAGCCCCTCCCTGAGCTTCCCGAGCCCTCGGCAGCCCCCACCTCCGCAGCACACGCTCAGCTTTCTGTAAAACCGGCAAACACACGTGGAACAATGGCGTACTTTTCCGTCTGGAAATGCTCGGGGAGGGGGGGAGGTCACACAACAAACTGCCAGCGGACACAGCCCCTCCCCGGGTGAGACGTCCCTCTGGGACGCCTTCCAGTTAATCATGTTTGAGGATCAAAATGAAAACACAAAGAGGCCCAGTTTGGTATCAAAGTCCTGCCGGCCCCCAGACCCCACGGGTGAAAGTTCCTGCCAAAGGGGAAAGGCCAGCGCTCAGAACCCGAGAGGCCAGGACTTAGAACAACTTTCATCAAGCAGCTTTTGTCTGGGTAATGATTAACCGTCTGTGCTCGGGAGCACGTCCCCCGCCAGCACACACAGGGACCCCTGTGCGGGGCGTGCCAGCTGCAGACCAGCCGTAACATTAGAACCGAGTTGCCTCGAACCAAGGGTGCCCACGCCGTCTTTCCAGGAGGCCGGGTTCCAGCTAAAGGTTCCAAGTGTGGGAGCCAAGGGCTCGGGACAAAGAGCCCACCCAACTTCTGGGATTCGCCTCCCCCCAGATGAGGACCGGGGTCCAGCCCAGGGAGTGGGGACCTCCTGGGGACACAGTGGAGACAGCTCTGCTGGGGAAGTCCTGCCCACAGCGCTCTGAGTGGGCCGCTGAGCAGTTTGGTAAAATAATAACAACAGCACAATTGATGCTGGCACTGGGCATGAAGCACCGGCCGGCCATAAACCACTAAACCATCCCCTCAACAAGCTTACTGGCCGGGGTGGGGGAGGGGCAGGACGCAGGGACCATCCCAAACCAGCGTGACAGGAGGCGGGGCCAGGAGCCTGCTGTGAAGGGTTTGGGGGTGGGGGTTCTGAGCCCACCTGCACATGTGTGCATGGGGTACAGCTTATCCCCAGAAGGGCCCATGCCTGCTTCTACCCTCTGCTGCTGCCATCTTAAAATTCTTAATTAGGGACCATGGGGCCCTTCGCTTGTCTCGTACAGATGGTGGCAGTTAGAAAGATGGTCCCGAGACCGGTCTGACTCAGTGGACAGAGCATCAGCCTGCAGACTGAAAGGTCCCAGGTTCGATTCCAGTCAAGGGGATGTACTTTGTTTGCGGGCATATCCCCAGTAGGGGGTGTGCAGGAGGCAGCTTATTGATGATTCTCTCTCATCGATGTTTCTAACTCTCTAGCCCTCTCTACCTCTCTGTAAAAAATCAATAAGATATATTAAGAAAGAAAGAAAGAAAGAAAGAAAGAAAGAAAGAAAGAAAGAAAGAAAAGAAGGAAGAAAGAAAGGAAGGAAGGAAGAAAGAAAGGAAGGAAGAAAGAAAGGAAGATAGATGGTCCTAAGGGGGCCTCAGAGAGACCCCAAGAGGCCAGAGGACCAGGGAATCAGCATGTTGGCGCCAGGCAGACCCTGGGGCCTGAAGCCAGGTAGGGACCGATGGCCACTTCCCCAGGGCCGGTCCAGTCCTCAAGCAGCAGCCAGTTACCTGGAACTTGTCGGGGTCCGCTTCTCCGGCCTGAGCCACGAAGGAGCCGGAGCCGGGCTCCAGCTCCAGGCCGCGTGGGGACCGGGCCAAGGACACCCCCTGGATCTTCTCGCAGTCCACGAAGAGCGTCGCGGTGTCCCCGTCCACGCTGAGGGCGAAGCGCGTCCACTGGCCGGTGAAGGCGGGCAGGGCGAAGCTGGCGGCCGTGCGCGTCCGGGCCGCGCCCGGCTCGGTGTACAGGAGCTGGATGTGCTGCTGGCCGTCACTCACGCCCGACAGCTTCACGCCCACGGAGACCACGGCCTGGGCGGCATCCGTGATGGCGAACAGCACCCCCGCGGCCTCGGTGGCCGGCTGCACGTGGAAGAATAGCGAGAAGTCGCGGAAGAACGGGCTGGGGAAGTGGTACCGGGCCACCTGGCCGCTGTTGGCGTCTGGACCGAAGACGAAGGCCGGTCCCACGTCCGGGTCATCAATCCGGGTGACCTGCTGGGGCGGGGGCTCCCCGAGCAGCTGGAGGAGCCCCACCTCTGTGACCACTCGCTCTGCGAAGAGGAAAAAGACACCGTGTGAGGCTGCGTGCAGAGCACAGAGGGGAAACCGAGGCACGCACCTGGCACCTGCTCCGCTCCTCTGGGCTCTGCTGGCCGGGGAAGTGGACAGATACCCCATCTTATCCAGACACACACTGGGCCAGAACATGGTGGCCATAAGCCACTATACCATCCCCTCGACAAGCTTACTGGCCCAGGGGGTCGGGGAACAGGATGCAGCAGAGACCATCCCAAACCAGCGTGGCAGGAGGAGGGGTCAGGAGCCTGCTGTGAAGGGGTTGGGGGTTCTGAGCCCACCTGCAACCTTGCCCCGAATCCCGTCTTCATCCCATGCTTAGAACATGTCCTCGCCCCATCACTCAGCATCCTCACCCTCGGACCCCACGCCAGGATCCACAGGAACAGTGCAGGGCACGGGCAAGAGCACCCCTCACTCCCTCACAAACACGGAAAGAAAGCTGTGCTCCGGCTGTTCCTGCAGCTTTACCCTCAACAGAACCGGCCCGGAAACACACTCCCAGGACGGCAGGAAACGAGAGGGACTTGGCTTAGCTGGACCGGTCCTGTGGTTTCCACGTCTGTGCTGACCCTCAATGCAGCAACTCACACCCAGCCCCCCAGGTTGGCTGGGGCTTAGGAGATGTGACCGCTCGGCTGCGGCTGTTGCTTCTGGGAACCAAGTCAGCTCGAACCAAGGGTGCCACACAGTGTCTCCAGGAGGCGGGGGTTCCAGCTTCAGGTTCCAAGTGTGGGGGCTCGCCTCCCCTCCTGGTGTCTCCACACCGGGGTGGCCTGGAGAGCAGCCTTAGGAGGGGGAACCACCCGCGGGAGGTCTGCTTTCTCAACCCACAGATGCTCAAGCTAGTGCAACGCAAGCTAGAAGGCAGATGCCCACCTGCCTTGTACCCAGGAGATTCATACATCCCTTCCATTCACGCCCCTCAGAAGCCAACAGTCAGAGCCGCTTGTGTGTCCTCCTCCTGGGCCGTCAGTGTCGCCGAGCATGCGTTCTGACTGACATCCCAGCATCTGGAGGCCCCTCGGTGGCAGGAGCCCAGGCGGGGACACAGCCAGGGTGCTGGGTTCTCTCTCCTCATTTCTTGTCCAGCAGGAGGGACCAGAGACCCTGCTGTCCATGATGCGGATCCTGAGCCAGTGCAGGGCCTGACCTGACTGTGAGCCTGGACCTGCCCAAGCCCTGGCATGCAATGCGGAGCATGTGGGGGCCACTAGTGTCAGGCTCCCATGCCCTAGGGGCCAGGAGTGCTGAGCATTAGGGCAGACGGCCCAGCTACTCACTGCTGGACACAGGAGAGGGCAGGCACCTAGCTCAAGAAGAGACCGGTGCATGCATGGCTTCCCTCACATCCACTGTGCCCGGCGGAGCCTGACTCTGTGGCCAAAGTTGGCCAAGAGCCCTGACCCTTGGCAAGTGAAAGTGTGTATGTGTGTGTATGTGTATGCACATGCGCACACGCATATATGTCTAGTATGTGTATATGTGATTGCTTGTGTGAGATGGGCATCTGGGTCTGGCACACCAGCAGGGCCAGGCTGACCTGGGACCTTCTGGGGCAGGCAGAGGAAAGAAATGCTGACCCCAATTTCCTAAGACAAGTTGTCTTACAAGAGTCCCTGAGGAAAAAACAAATAAAAACAAGAGGAAGGGCTACAGCAGGGGGACATGCACTGTGGGTACTTGTGAGGGTTGGTTCCTCAGGGTCAGCTGTGTGGCTCTGCATGGCCCTGACGGCCCGCCATGTGGCAGCACTGCGAGCCATCCAGGGCTCCCACTGATCTCAGCCTCCCCGAGGGTAAGACCCTCATGCAGTCGGGAAGTGGGGGACAGCCAGGAGCAGCGGATGGCAGCCTGGCCTCTGCTGTGGGCGAAGGGCCCCTCCTGAGAACAGGGGCCTGAGAGGAAGACCCTGCCTGTGGAGGTGAGTGGTCACTTCCTGCTCAAAGACAGGCTGCTGTCCACCAGGATGGCGGTTGCCATGACAGTGCCTTGTAACAGAAGGACCTGGGGCCTGAGTGTCCATCAGGGGGATGTTTAAGATTGGGAACAGGACTGTCACTGGTTTGGGTGCAATAAGCCATGGGGTCCTGATTCAGCTGTCCCCAAAGTTAAACACAGGTATGCTCCACCACAACCCTTCCTCATTCGGGGCTAGGAAATTTTCCAAATTAATTAAGAAGGTGTGATGCAGCCCTGACCAGTTTGTTCCGTGGTTAGAGCATCGGTCTGCAGACTGAAGCGTCATGGATTCAATTCCCAGTCAAGGGCACATACCTTGGTTATGAGTTCACTCTCTGTCCCCCTCCACCCCTCCCACCCCCGTCGGGGCACATGCAGGAGGCAATCAATCAATGTGCCTCTCACATTAATGTTTCTCTCTCTCTTTCGCTCCCCATCCCTCCTTCTCCTCCTCCCTCCTTTCCAATCTCAAAAAAGAAAAAAGAAAAAAAAAAAGAAAAACACTAATGGGAAAAGTATCCTCAGGTGAGGATTTTAAAAATAATGAAAGAACACAAGATGCAGCAGCTGTGGACTCCTGGGCTGGAGGACAGCAGCATGGTACCCGGGCAGCCTCGGGAGCCCAGAGATGGATGAGCAGCTCCTTCTCAAAGTGCTCCCACTTCCTCTCCATGGCACCTCAGGTACCCGTTGGAAGGAAGCCTCCGAACGCTGAGGCCCTGAGATCACTGAGATCACCGGTTCCAGGCACCGAGAGCGTGAGTGGAGGGTGCGGTCACTTCCCTGCGGAGCTTTGGCAGCTGCTGCGCTGGGGTCAAGGCCCACGGCCCTGGCCCCGCTGTCTTGGGTGGGGAATCAGCATCTCTCTAAAAATCGAGCCATGCCACGCTCTCTGAGAGCTCAGAGGAATGCCTTCCCAGAATGCCATGTCCTGGAACGCAGTGGGTGACACCCTTGGCAAGCTGGGGCCCATCCTGTAGCCCACACTCCCCTCAGATCAAGTAATCAGGGGGCTAGCATTGTTGAAGACACGGTTTTCCTTTCGGCAAGCAGGCCAGCCATGATCAAGTAGACTTATCCCAGGTATGGAAGGCTGTTTTTTAAATACTCCATCGCATCACGGCTAATGAAGAAAAATCACAATATCCTGTCAAATTTGCAAAAAAGCATTTGACAAAACCCAATACCCATTCATGATCAAAACTGTCCGTAAACTAGGAGTACAGCAGAATTCCCTCCACCTGATAAAGAATATCTAAAAAAAAAAAAAAAAATCTACAAAAACAAAACAAAACACATACTTAATGGTGAGAAACTTGAACCTCTCCCACTACAATCAGATACAAGGCAGGAAAGTCCCTTCTCTACTTCTTTTCAACATCATTCTGGAAGTCCTAGTTAATGAAATAAGACAAGAATTGGAAATAAAGTACACAAATTGGGAAGAAAGAAATAATACTGTATGTTTGCGATGATATGATCATCTATGTAGAAAAGTCAAAAGAATTAACAAACAAATAACCACCCCCACACACACCTCCTGGAGCTAAATGATCATAGCAAGATTAATATATGGGATACAAGGTTAATATACAAAAGTCAACTGTTTTCTACATATCAGGCAATGAACAAGTGGAATTTGAAATTAAAAACAGAATGCTATTTACAGAATACCAAAATTAAATACTTCGACATAAATCAAACAAAATATATACAAGATCTATATGAGGAAAACCATAAAACTCTGAAGAAAGAAATCATAGAGCTAAAGAAATGTAGATATATTCCTTAAAAAGAATCAATATTGTCAAGATGTCAGTTCTTCCCAACTTAATCTATAGATTCAAAGAAATCTCAATCAAAATCCCAGATAGTTATTTTGTGAACATCGACAGATTCTAAAGTATATATGGAGAGACAAAGACCCAGAATAGCCAATGCAATTCTAAAGGAGAAAAACAAAGTTTTCTAAACCTACAGTGATCAAAACAGAGTGGTATTCTTGAAATAAAAAAGTGATCCATGGGACAGAATAGCGAACTCAGAATAGAGCCACATAAATACAGTCAACAGATCTTTGGCAAAGGACTAAAGGCAACAGAATGGAGTAAAGATGATGTTTTCAACAAATGGTGCCGGAACTGCTGAACACCAATGTTTAAATTAAATCACAGACCTCATACCTCTTACAAAAATTAACTCACCGTAGATCACAGACCTAACAGGAATGTGCAAAACCATAAAACTGCTACAAGATAACAGGGAAAACTCTTGATGACCTTGGGTATGGCCATGACCTTTTAGATCAGTGGTTCTCAACCTTTTTAATGCCGTGACCCTTTAATACACTTCCTCATGTTGTGGTGACCCCCAACCATAAAATGATTTCCATTGCTACTTCATAACTGTAATCTTGCTACTGTTATGAATCGTAATGTAAATATCTGTGTTTTCTGATCGTCTTGGGCGACCCTGCTAGCGGTTCTCAAAATCTCTGTACCTTCCCCTCAATTTTGCTATGAACCTAAAACTGCTCTTTAAAAAAAAAAAAAGGTCTTTTTAAAAAGCACCGAACAGGCAAACGACAGCAGAAAGTAAGCAAACATTGCAACACGACGATCAGATAAAACAGAAGTCAAGTTGCAGCCATGAAGTGGGACAAGGGGGTGAGTGATCCTTTCCGTGCGCTGACATGTAATGGGCCTGGTACCACCCACATGCACCCGGCCCCCAATACACACGGCACACAGAGAGGGGGGTGGGAGGTTCTCTCTCAGGATGCCGACCCAGAGGCAGCTGCCTGCCCCCCTCTCCTGTTAGAACGGGGCACACTCGGAGAGACTCCCCGAACCTTCCACAGGCAAGCGTCTGGGGCGGGTGAGGAGCCTCAGAAATCTCAATACCAAAGAGGACAAACCCTCAGGGACACCTACTGCTCCACACCTGACTGGAAGACTCATCAATATGATGGGCAACCGGAGGCACCCATGTCACTGGGTGGGAACACCACGGA